TCGCTGTACCTGACTCAGTTTTAAATACGATATTTAAAAACTGAATGCTTTTATTTTTCTAGTAACTACAAACTTATATCCTCTATTGAATGCTACACAATCATATGATGTTCACTTGGTATGAATAACTCCAACAAACACTAACAGTTATTTCTAATTGTTTCTTGTATTGCAAGGTATCTTTAATATTTACCATCCGTGAGTTAAAAGCGTTGTATGAATAAAAGGATTGTATGAGTATGAAAATGATACCTCAAGTTGCTCATGAAGCCTTCTTTGGACCTCTATTTGCATATGCAGTGCTTCACTTATAGGAGAGTTCCTGGTTGCAGATAAATTAGGTCAGTTGGCGCTACACTACACTAATAAGTTAGAAAGTCATATCATATAGACAAATATTTTTAATATTGCTTACTTGTTTGGCTGTGGTCCAATGCTTAAACTCTCACTTTGAATTTCGTCTGCATCAGGGCTCTTTTCTTCAATCATGGTCATCATACCTATAAGAGTAATATTTAGATATTTGCTAGGAATTTAAGGTTTTTATATGTTCTTGTATTTGTCCATATGATTAATAATTTTTTACCTATTTTGTTTAAGCCGCTGTTAGCTTGTCCGTTGAGATTCTTGCTCAGCCTGTATTTCTGGTAACCAATTTCATATGTTAGCAACTTTTTGTGAATACACACAAAAAGATGAACGAGCTATGTCAAGTGTTGGTGGCTTACCTGAAGATGACTTTTGAGATGGTATAGGGTAAGCCCTGGAATACCCATGACTTTCATGATAGTTTTAGGAGTTGCTTCTGCAACAAGTTAAGTAAAAAATATTATATCTAAAACCCTATCTGATAGCAAGCCAGAGATGATTAATTAATTCTCTTGCTAACTTACTATCAGCTCCACCGAGTTGATTAACTGCTTCAATGAATCTCTCATGAAGATCTGGAGTCCATTTTAATCGTGGCTTTGCATCGGTTGAGAGGATGAGACCAGAATCTCCTGGACTGTTCCCTCCTCTAAGGAAATGATGTCTCTCAGAAGGTAAGTGCATTCTTGAAGAAGAGAGGATGCTCTTTCCTTGGTGCTGGTTTTGGTAATACATAAAGTCTGTGCACAAAAAGGTGAAATGCAAGTTTAGTTATCAACCACCTAGAGATTGCATTAAACAATGATTTTGCCATGATGGATGTTTTCTTTTACCTGACTGCTTCTCTCAGAATTTCCAAAGGGTGTAAACTCCAACAACTAAGGAAGATGTTTTTGTTGCTAAGTCTTACTTGTTCTTTATATTTTATCAGGCTGCTTTGGTGCAACTTTGCTTTATATAGGAAGTTGAATGGAGAAAAGGGAGGGCAAATTAGAGAACGATGATTAAGGGATGGAATATGAATAACTGGTCCAATCGATGCTTTGTTAGTTGTGTCCTTATCGTTTTGAAGTGTTAATTATGCTTTTGTTTCTAGATGATTTTTTCATGTATTGATTGATTCCTATGGACTACAACTTTTCAACCCCAATTAGATACCAGAATTGATCCACAATTAATGCATCATATGCGCATTCTCTAGCCATTCTGGCAGAGGGAAGTATCTTATTCCCTAATTTTTTTCCTAACTTTTTTTTTTACTTGGGCCATGGAATCAACTATTTTCTTATTCCTTGATATTTTCATAGTCACAGCTCTAACCTTTCTCTCTCAGAATATTCTCAATGCTTTTCATTCGTCCGGATTGTTTTTTTTTCCTTGTTCATAGAGTCATTTTCTTTCTCTAGGGACATTATGATGAGTCTAATTAATTCAATCAAGACTTTTAGTTACATGTTACTGATGTTAAAAGGGCATCTGGCTAATGTTAAATACATTTTTACTCAGTCGAGTAAAGAAGCTTTTGTTTAAGATATCAAACAAATGAAAGTTTTAGTTGGAAAATTTGTTTTGCTTAATTAAAAAGATGATAAGGAATATTTTCATATTGTCTCCTTCAACAAGTTTAGTACCATATTCTCTCTACACAGTATAAAATTTCTGGAGGGTCCCATTTTCTTAACATTCTTTGATTAGCACAAACCATTTGGCCCCTCCATGCCTGTGTATTATTATGTTTGTAATTTTTCTTGTCTAGTCTATCTAATAACTACAACACTCTCTCGGTTGCATGTGTGTGTGTTTGCATTTATATGTTTATGCATATTTAGAAGTGAAACATCTATTGCTTCCCTTTTTTTTCCTATATACTTCCCTCCAATTCCTCCAACTATTTCAATGAATTTTAGGTTTCTTGAGTTTTCAAAAAGTTTATGCGTGCATATATATATTACCATCAATACTTTGCATCTTCAACAGGATCAGGACATATAAAAAGATGAATAGAGATTGTGATTGACAAATGTTATAGTTGTGTAGGTTACAACTACTCTATCTGCAATTAAGAATATATCCAGTTTTGAGTCCCACATTAGCTAAATGAGTGCTATGATATGGTCTATATAATTCATAAGGGAAAAGGTCGAAAAAACAAATATTATGTTCCTTGGAATGATATCTTTGCATTTATTTTATACCGAACCAAACTTTATAGGCGATATCTCATGGTTGTGATTACTCAATTCACTTTATTCGGTGTTTGGAGAAGGAAGAACCTATCATAACCTTCAGTTAAAAGCATTTGAGCATATTACCAAAATAGTTGATCCCCATGTGGGTGAGAATATGCTTTTCATGTTGTGAGTTGCAAGTCTCTAAAAGTCTTATTTGAATGAATCTCATCAAACTCACTCCTCTCATATTACGATTTCTATTTCTTTTTACCTAAACTTCTGTTTAATTACAGTACTTTTGTATAAGGTTATAAATTAAATTAGTTTCTAATCCAGTCACTTTTATCCACTGCATGTCATACTTTTTGAGTTCACAGCAAACTATTGCTCGTGAAAGCTTTTAGATTTTGTCGACAATTCTTGGTTATTATTTTCTTTTGTAACTTAATTCTTGATAACTTACACACTCTCTTTTACTCATTTCAAAAGTCATTGTTGAGAGTGAAAAATAAATAGAGAAAGAGAGAGGGGGGAGTGGGTGATAGAGACTAAATGTTCTTCCTTGTACGTTCATTTATAGATTCTTGTTCTAGTTTACGACTAAACTTTATTCTCATTGATGCTTTGAAGCGCTCGCGTAGGGAGCATACTTGTACACGTGGGCTACATTCGCCTGGAAAATAAATAAATACCCACGGAATTATATTCTTTTGCTTATGAAAACAAAATAAATAATTTAAAGAAAATAGAAAGTGGGTTCTCTTGCTGAGATTCTGCAGAATGAGAATCAGAAACTCCGAAGAAAAAAAGGTTTTTAAAGGTGAGTCGCACTCTCAAGTCAAGAATCTTTGTTATTCATCTTACCCCTATAGTAATAAAAAATAGAAAACGAAAAGAGAATATTTATTCAATGTTCGTTTTCTTGCCACTTATGGCTAGTCTTGTTTCATTACTTGTTAACATCACTGACTAGAAGAAGATTAGGCTTCATCTCAGTTTTGTTTCGTTATTGCATTATTTGTTCGTGGCATATTGAATCAAGTTCATAAATCACTGCACTGAACCTCTCTCACTAACGGTCATCCAAATTGAATTTTAACCAGTACATTTAATAAACATATTTTAACATTTCTCGTGGTCTTAATAAAGTTTGAATCTCTAGCTGCAAGCTTGCGAATGTTGTAGTTACTAGTATTATTTATTCACTAGTATATAATCTTTTTTGTTCAATTACTTCGTTTACTTTATTTATTGTAGCTCTCTGGGGAAGAAAGATTCCGAAGATAACCTGGTTAAGCAAAAACTTTGAACTTTTTGCAATTGTGTGTTATAAACTTTGGCATCGCAACAGTTTTCACCTGAATGTTGGGCCTTTTATCTAACCTTTGTTCAAAAGAAATTTTTGGTTAGTTAAATATTGAAAAAACGAACCTGATTTGAATGTCTATAAAATGATGGACCGGACCGGTATGCAAGGTGTAACTTTGAAAACGTGTAACTGATTTGAATGTCTATAAAATGAAACTAGACTAAGTTGTAGATGATCTGTGGAATGTGCTCTGGCCTCTGTGTCGGACACAATAGCGAATTCAGGAGATAACATCAGAATCGTAAAAAATTTAGTTTATTGTGAAACTGGTATTTAGTTTCAGCTTATCACAGAAATTTTATTGGTTACTGAGAATTTTGTTGCAAAAAAAAAACTAATGAATCGTAATAAATCGACTCTGGCCCGTTCATCAAGGATAGCTTCTCCATGGTAAGAAGAGTTGAGCTACAGAAATTCATTCCTCTGTACATGATGTTTCCAAAAATAAAATACTAAATAATTAATATCTTAATGAGATATTGTTTGCATCGCAAGAAATGACAGAAAATTATTGCTTCAAACTTAGAAACTGTGCTAGTCTTTGAGATTTACTGATTTATTGTTCTTGTTTAATTAAAATACGTAGTCTTGATATAGATTTTCGAGTTTTCCCCTGATTTATTTAAGTTTACTCTTATTGACGGTTTTTATATTTCCATTCTTGAGATACAAGAACATCATTAAATGTACACAACGACAGTTTCCTTTTGAAAGCAAAATAGAAAATTCTTATTTCCAAAACCATGAAATTTTACTTTTTATTATATTAGCAATTTTTGTGTGTGTGTATAATTGTCCTTACTTGAAACACAAGAATTCAATAAATGGGTTTCCTTTTTCCTTCGGTATTGATTAAAAGCCGCGTTATTTACCATATTAAAACCATACAAAATGGAAATTGTGTCATTATATTTTCCTTTTTCGTTATATGAAAAAAGGACACTATTTCTCTCCAAGTTCTAAACGGATTCCTATATAAACAAACATAGATGCAAGACTCTAATCACAAATTATAATCTTCCACAAGCTCTCAATCTCACATCCTTTTTAACTCTTAAATTTAGTTTTTCTTCTTACAAGTTCTTTAGACAATGGAGAAGATACTTGACGGAAGAACTAATGGAGCACTCAAGAAGACCAAGATCGTGTGTACTCTTGGACCACAATCCAGGTCTGTTGAGATGATCGAGAAGCTTCTTAAAGCTGGTATGAACGTAGCCCGTTTCAATTTCTCACATGGTACCCACGAGTACCACCAAGGAACTCTCGATAACCTCAGAATCGCCACGAAGAACACTGGTCTCATGTGTGCCGTCATGCTTGACACAAAGGTAACCTAATCCACTAAACTTTTCTACACTTGACCTAATAGTAATATTCGATTTATGGATTTTAATTTAACTCGGTTTATTTTGGTTTACAGGGTCCTGAGATTCGAACCGGATTTCTCAAAGAAGGCAAACCGGTGCAACTAACTCACGGTCAAGAGATCACAATCTCAACTGATTACACTTTGCAAGGAGATTCAAACACAATCTCCATGAGCTACAAGAAACTTGCAGAGGATCTAAACTCTGGTGACGAGATTCGCTGTTCCGACGGCACAATCTCTCTGACCGTCTTGTCATGTGACAAGGTTAACGGTCTAGTTCGTTGCCGTTGCGAGAACTCAGCAACCCTAGGAGAGAAAAAGAACGTTAACCTCCCAGGAGTTGTAGTTGATCTCCCAACTCTTACAGAGAAAGATCAAGAAGATATTCTCAAGTGGGGAGTTCCTAACAAGATCGATATCATTGCTCTCTCCTTTGTTCGAAAAGGATCTGACCTAGACCTAGCCAGAAAGTTACTTGGAGAGCACGCAAAGCGTATCATGCTTATGTCAAAGGTGAGTGTGAAAAAAAAACCATAATACATATGTTTTTATTTTTTTATTTGAAAAAGATACATGTTTGATCAAAAAAGACATGTTTTATTTTTATTTTTATTTTTTATTTGGTTGAAAAAAAAACATGTTTTATTTATTCTAATAATGATAATTAATGTCTTGACAGGTTGAGAATCAAGAAGGAGTGATGAACTTCGACGAGATTCTAAAGAACTCTGATGCATTCATGGTGGCAAGAGGAGACCTAGGGATGGAGATTCCTATCGAGAGAATATTTCAAGCACAGAAGATGATGATAGAGAGAGCCAACGCTGTCGGAAAACCTATCGTGACAGCAACACAAATGCTTGAGTCTATGATAAAGTCTCCTCTCCCGACAAGAGCTGAAGCAACAGACGTGGCAAACGCTGTCCTAGACGGAACGGACTGCGTCATGCTCAGTGGAGAAACCGCGGCAGGAGCCCACCCTGAAGCAGCCGTGAAGATCATGGCGAGAATCTGTAAAGTGGCGGAGGATACGCTTGACTACGATGCCGTGCATAAGAAGATTCAAGAAGCTGTTCCGTTGCCTTTGTCTACTGTTGAGGAGTTGGCTGCTGAAGCTGTGGCCAAGGCGATGAAGCAGAATGCTAAGGCGATTGTGGTGCTCACTAAGGGGGGATACACGGCGGCGCTTGTGGCGAAATACAGGCCTAGTGTTCCGATTCTTTCGGTGGCTATTGCCGATGATGGAGAGTCGAGGTGTTCTGAGTCTGTGGCGAAACGTGGCTTGATTTACCGTGGGATTGTTCCTGTGGTGGCGAACAGTGGTTCGACGGAGGAGGCGACTAGATTTGCGGTTGAGTTTGCGAAGGAGAAGGGAATCTGTAAGGGTGGAGATTCGATTGTCTTGGTGCAGTACATTGATGGTTCCTCTGTTCTCAAGATAATGCTCGTGGAGTAAACAGATTATTTTTTGGGTCAATTTTGAAGTTTTTAAATTTTGTGGGATTCTCAAAACTAGAGTCTGCGAGAAATAATTTTGGCCGCCATATTTTATGTTTTTGACATTTTTCATAATTTGATATTTTTTTACTTTGTTCAGATTTCAAATTCATGCGTCCCAAGCAACTCCAATCAAACTTTGTGTGTACAAAGTTCAAAAGACGTACGTATATGCATGGATTTAAACGCTCTGAGTCTTCTTTGATATTTTAAAATGGGCTGCTAGAGCACCACAATGAGGAGTTCTCAAAATATATATACATACACCATGACCTCATCGTAGCTAATATCACTCCCTTGTTGTTGTATATGCATAAATAGATGAATGAGAATGTCATCCCTATAATAGATGATACAATGATATTTTACTTACCACAAGTTATGGAATAAATTTCAGGCAAACTGTTGTATGTATTTTCTAAGTTTTCTCTTTTATATAATTGTATAATTATTGTAAGAAAATATAATTTGTATAAATTCTCGTGTTATATGGTTTGGCACGTGAACCCCATAATAGAATAAAGGCATAACTGGTTTATCGGTTACCATCCGTAAATACAGATTGGTAGCGATTGTTTTTACAACAGAAAATGTTATAAAAGAAAATGTTATAAAGAAAGAATAATTTGGATTTCATATCCACGTGGATTTGCACGACACCGCAAATGTATGTGTATGTTTTCAATCATGGACGAGGAGTACCACTTGTGAAAACGATTTTAAAGGATGTATATATATGTCACTATATACTTTTCAGAAAATGTTTAAAAGAAACTACAAGCCAATGAAGCATGAGCTTCCAACCGTCAATAAATAATTAACTGGCCACAATTTTACCAAAGATATATGTAGTGGTATTTTTTTCTGTAACACATGTAGTCTAGTGGTTAATTATGTTATTATGATATCAAGAGGTGGTGAATTTGAAATCTACCAAGGGCATAATGATTTTTTCAGCCCTTTTTTTTGGTTTAGAGCTTGTGGCATTCAAAAGTACCGGCTCTGTGTCCATCATATACGTGAATTATATATAATTACCTCACAACTGAACTGCAAAAAGAAAAAAAAATCATTTTCAATATATATAAGCTTCTATATGATATGATCCCTTACAATACTTTGGAAATTTCATATAATAACAACTCCTACGTTTAACCATATATCAAATGGTCCCTAATTCGTGTAATGATGTTTTGAAAACAATATCCTCTCTAGCCTTAATATGGAAGGCGAGGACTCACTGAGAATTCCTGATTAAGAAAACTAGATTGTTGAACCATACTATGATCCAAATGATCTATACTATTATTGTAACTAAAGTTGTTGATCATCTTCTTGGAAGAGTTCATCGTTTCTTCTGCATAATCCTTTCTTTCTCTTTTGTTTCCGATAAAGCTGGTCTCAGAACTAGGAGAGCTCAGCTGAGGTAGCTTTTGATCCAAGTAAGGGTTTTCGTAGATGTTAGGGTTTGAGAAATTTCCACTCATGAAAGAAAACTCTGATTCAGTACGCGTTTCCGGAGTTTCGTTTAGAAAATTTGTGAGGAACGTCAAATCTGTAGCGTCTAATAAGTTCGAGAAAGAAGACTTCTGGCGTTTAAGGGTTTGATCGTTTTCCAAATTTGGCACGAGGGTTTCGCTTACTAAGAATGGTTCTTTGTCATTTTTCTCATGTTCTTGGTTGCTTGTAGTTGTAGCCAAAGCAACATCTGATGATGACAATGAAGTGTGTGATTTCTTGTAAATCCGGCAAAGAACCCAATCATCCAGCTGCAAGAGAATAAGGAATATAAAATAGTAAGTAATGGGGCTAAAATAATTAAACAATCAACGTATGTGCTGAATATAGCAATCTTAGTTAAAAAGGTTTATTGATATATCAGGTATATAATGAAACCAAAACAAAAAAAAAAACAAAAAAGTTGGAATCAAACTTTAAAATCAGTTTTCTTTTTACTTGAATCAAAACACCATAGTTTTTAAAAGAAAATCATCCAGCTGCAAGAGAATAAGGAATACTCCCTCCGTTTCGAATTAGATGTCATTCTAGAGGAAAAATTTCGTTTCAAAATAAGTGTCGTTTTAGAGTTTCGAGACAAAATTTATTATGTTTATATCATATTCTATTTTTCTATTGGTTGAAAAGTGGTTAGGTGTATTGGTAATTGTGTTTTTATATTAAAAATATGTAAAATTAAATGTTTCCTTAATCTGTGTGTAAAAACCTAGAATGACAAATAATCTGAAACGGAGGGAGTATAAAATAGTAGGTAATGGGGCTAAAATAATAAAACAATCAACGTAAGTGCTAAATATAGCAATTTTATTTAAAAGGTTTATTGATATATCAGGTATATAATTAAACCAAACAAAACAAAACAAAAAAGTTGGAATCAACTTTAAAATCAGTTTTTTTAAAAAATTGAATCAAAATCACCATTATTAATAACCTTTTTCTTTTCCTTTCAAGTATTTATAAAATCTTACCCTCATAGAGTATTCTTTAGATTTCAAACTCCTATCTCTTTTGGGCGATAGGGTTTCAGCAAGTCGATATTCATGCATGATCCAATTGGTTTTAACACCTTTTGGAGGCTTTCCTCTATAAAACACAAGAGCTTTTTTTATACCAATGTTTTCGTGAACTCCTTCACCGTTTGGTACCATGATTAATTTATCTGTTCCAGTGGCTTTCCAATATCCAGATGCAGCTGCTCGGTTTGGTCTTGCTCCGTTTGGATATTTCCTGTCCCTCGGACTGAAAAAATACCATTCTTTCTCTCCAAAGGGGGCCTTGGCTGATATAAATCAAACAACATGTTATAACACTAATAGAAAAGTCAATAAAAGGGAATATGCATTACACAAGTTTATAAAGTGGAATAATATTGGTTAGTTACCTGGTAATTCCCATGGATCAGATTTATAGATGTCGACATCTGCGATAACGGAAGGAGGGACTGGTAAAGAGGAAACCTTCTTCCGTAGATAATGGAGAATGAGTTCTTCATCAGTTGGATGAAATCTAAACCCTGGTGGTAAACTTGCTCTTGGATCCTTTCTTATCATTGTTTTTTGGTATGATCTTAAGAATTAGAGAAAATTTTGAGTGAGAAGAGAAGACCAACAGAGGAGAAAGACTGTTTTAATTTTGGTGAGGAGCAAAGAGGCAAAGAAGAAGTGAGCCAAAGATTGAAATTTTTCGTAGAGCAGGTTGCGAGGCAATTTATGGTGCGTGGAGTTTTGTCTTTTAGTATCATTTTATGAATTCCAAAAATATTAGGAATTCAAAACAAAGGAAAGATATAGAATCTTATTTTATGTAAAGCTAGAAAAAGTCAAAAAAACAAACGTTAAAGTAGTCGATTAAAAAAAATGAACCACCAGTTCAAATTATTTTCCAACCTAATTAAATAATATATATTTTTAGTTATTACAACTTTATGACGAGAAGCTAACAAATATCGTCATCGAACTCAAGCATGTGTTATGAACAGAAACTGCAATAAATAATATATTTATTCAAATTTGTGGTGTTTTTGTGCATGTTGTCTATCTATTCTCATAATATAATATTTATCATTTAAATTAAGTTCAAAAATATATAGTATATATTTATCATTTAAGTCTAATTAGACATTTTATGTAAGGATAGTTTTTTTAGCACCATGTAAGGATATATATAGCTATTTGTATTTACTTTATAAACATTGAGAATCAGGAAGTTCGTACTACTTGGACTTCAAATTTTTAAAATATGCAACCCAACATAATTAAACTTTGTAAGTGATATTTAATATGTTGATTTTTTTCCATTTTAGCTATTGAATCCAAAAAAAAGCCGTATATAAGCTTCTAAGAAATAGTCTTTCAATCTTTTACTAAAGAATATAAAAATATCTATAAGGATCAAAGTATGAAAACAAATGTTGCGTTTTCAAATTTTAAATAGACATATAATAACTTATTTGTGTCGTTGTATCGAGTATGAATAATTGAAGAGTTTTGTTGGAGAAGTGGACCCTAACGAGCAGCTGTGTCCTCCGAGATCTCATCTGATTGGTTAGTTTACTTTTGTCCTAACCATATCCACGTAAGCCCAGAAGCGGCTGCTGACGCAAACATCATATACTAGTCTCTATTATTTTTTGAGAAAACTTGATAATTTAAGAAAAAAAACATTGAAAGAATTTGTTGCAGTACACATGTTTGTATGGATTTATATGAAAAAAATAATAATAATAAATAAACCAAGCAAAATGAACTAATTACCAGTCCCTTAATGTTCTTATCCTTATTCTACAACCAGAGAGGAAAATAATCTCATTTATATAAATCCATACAAACATGAGTACTGCAACATGATCTTGAAATTAAAATCGGTAAACAATGAAATATTACAGTGATCTTTTGAAATCCGATGCCAGCGGCTTTATATGATTTATGAATTTTCCCTATTATAGATATTACAATGATCTCCCTTGATAATGAAAAAATTATGTATTCAATAATAGAAATGTGAAGATAAGAAGACAATTGTGTTCAAAAACAATAAGAAGACAATTGTGTCCAAAAACAATAAGAAGATAATAACTACTTTATAATGAAAAACAATAAGAAAGACAATTGTGTTCTGCATACTCATTATTTCTCATGGAGTCATGGGCTTGCCCAATTGTGCAACAGATGAAAATGTGTATAGAATTAAAAAATATATATAAATAAAATTTATAATTATAAAAGAAATATTTGATATAATTTTTTAATATATATACGATTGTTAAATTATGAAGAGTGTCTGCTATCTAAAATGAAATCGAACCTGAAAACTGTTTGATAATTTGTTTTAGTTATCGACCAAGTCGTAATGATAACAAACCAATATGTTGATTGGATAGGATGAGATAAGAAGTATCATAAAACGATGGATAAAATCCAAAAATTAAAAGTAACCTTAGACCACTGCCTCTTGAACTTGTGGACTAAACAACAATAACTCGTTGACAAAAAAGCAATAATTATGGCTTAATGCTACTAATTACGTGTTTTGTCTAATGAAGCTAGTATTAAACTAATCATAGTTTGATATGTTTCTTGGTGGGATGCAAACCAAATTAAACATTTGAATCTTCCCGAAGAGAAAACGTGAAATTATTGAGGGTGATTAACAAGTGTTGTGGTTTTTATTTTTCGATTTTAGAATAATAGCTGTAAACTTTATTGTTGTAGTTGTAGATTTTATTGTTCTAGATTTTTATTAACAATTTTCACAGCACTAAATATAAAGTTCTAGAAAAATTGATTTTTAAAATCATTTTGTTTTCTATTTTAATTTTAGTGTTGTAGTTTTAAATAATTTTTGTAAAGTATGATTGTTAAACTAAAATGGATGTAAAAAGAAAATAAGCTGTAGAAAGCACCCACATCTGTTTAATTTTTACTTTAAAACGTAATGCAATCAGCTTTTTTTCTTTCTTTTTTGAACACCAAACGTAATGTAATAAGCTAACCACACTAAATTAATGTATGAAACATACAGAATTCAGATAAGAAAAAAAGTTTCTTAAATGATAGTGACATGCCACGGCGCCATTCACACACACATGCAACCAACACGCAAGCCAATTTTCACCAAAAATACTTTTGATTACTAAAATTGTATGTGCGATAAGTAAACCAATAATTGAACCTTGATTTACCGAAAGGTATGACATGACTGTCAATTATAAGTTACAGAAATAATTCAGGGATAAAATATTACTCCCTTTTTATCACAGGATTTCCAAATATACCACTTTGGAAAAGAAAATATCTCATATATAAAATGATATCATTCCAAAAAAAACGTTACAGCGTGATAAATGGATGAGTTAATTTGCTCCTTTCTTGAGTTATATAAATGGTCTGAAGTTCCAGTGGGATTAAAGCCAATTGGTAATGAATTAAGTTCCACCTTGGTTTTAACGTGAAAACTCTTAGTTATTATTTGAAGCAAAGGCCTTACAAGTAACAAACCTAACCAAGATTACTCTTATTTTGCGAAATTCGTGGACGAGAATTCGACAAATACGCTACACCTTTATGATCTCCTTATTCTCATGCTTTTGCATTGTACATGTAGTTTCATTTCATTTAGTCAAACAATGTGACATCAACGTTTGAAAACCTACTGATTATGATTTATGAATATTATACATGCACGTACGCATAACAGAAGATAAGCAAGCAACCGTAAAGAAACTAACTACCAAAAAAGTAGTTGTACAAAAGTGTTTTTAATAATTAAAAAAATACTTCGCGAAATTTATCAAACGTGACTTTTGTTTCATTCGTTGAAACTGGAGTTTGTCATATGCCAGTAGGAAAAAAGTTAACTAAAACACACATAGTTTTGAAATTACTAAAATCTAAGTCTCCCTCAAATAAACATGGAAACATAAATATTCAACGTGCCAGCAACCACACGTGCGACTTACGATTCCGCTATCAAGCGTCAACATTTTGCACCTAGCTAGGATTGTAGGTGAACATATTAAAAGTTACTGTACGGATAGTTTGAATGATTTTAAAACAACTATAGTAAACGTAAAACGTTACAGCTACAATGACGAAGAATAAAATTGAAAAAGTATACCATTACAGACGAGACGAAATATTTGAATGTAGACCAGTGAATAATTGTTCTTTAAAATTTCATCACATATATATACATGGACCATTGTAAATTTGAGAACGATTTACATGGACCATTATATTAGTTAAGAAAACATTATACAAATAATTATGGGTGTGGATCCTTCATAAGAAAGTAAATTTGTCTTAGTATGGTGTATAATGAAAGCTTACTTGTTCTACTGGAATTTGAACACTTACTTGTCAAGTTTCCAACTACTCACAAATCAACATCTTACACTTTATACTATCGACCGTATGTATTATCATCACAGTTACAAAATGATATTTAGCATCTTCTTATAAATACCAATGTATTGTCGACAAATACATCTTCCTCTAAACACAAATGTGGAAATGATGAGTCATAAGACGTTTGCTCAAAAAAAAAGACGTTAGTTAAATGCATGACAAGGAACCAACTTTTTTTTAATGCTTACATGATTTGAGTTTTCATGGGATTTTCATAGCTCATTACAACTTTACAGGTATATATCAATGGTATAAGTTTGGTCGGTCTTCAAAGTCAGTTGAAGTTGGTGACATGATATTATAATGAGTGGGCGTGTAAATGGTCATAATTCAAAGTAGTTTGTTTACACTCATCCAAACTATTATACCTTTGACTTGTCAACGCTCATCTCCAATTCTTTTGGCACACTGACTTATCTAAGATCCTTTAAATATTCTTACGCTCCACAGATAATTTTAAACAGATTTGGATATGAACTACAAATGGAGATATATAATAATGTACTGAATTATCGATATTAAACTAAATCAACCATCCCCAATGATTGTAGCCTTGTAGGTCTCACCCGAAAAAAAAAAAAGAAGAAAAAGAAAATAAGAGAGAACTCAACATGGACAATTTACAAATCAAATTCTCAACAGTCAAGAAAAAAACGTCCAGTAAGTGAAACATTTATACGAAACCGAGGACACGTGGGCAGCTTTTACAAAAAAAAATAAAAATAAAGTAGTATATAGTGATAGTAAGCAATTAGGGATTATGATGATAACAAAATTTTGAAGTAGGGGGATTCTGGGGGAAAATTAAATAATATGGGTTTTGTGCAGATTCCCAAAACTTTCCCTTACTCATGGCGAGGATACGGCCTCTATGGCGCTTCCTAGTGGCCACGCAGCTTCCACGGCGTGTTCTCCATACTTCACTTTCTTCACTAACGTTATTGTCTGTGATGGCTTCAATCCTGTTTACAATAAAATAATTAAATTAAAAGATTAAACACGTTTCAACTAAACTATAGATGCAACAGTGGAAACTCAAATACATTTTGAATAGTGTAAAGTTTTGGGTAGGCAAGGTCAATTTTAGGGGAACACCAAAAAAAAGTCAAAACAACCGAACCAAACTTGGAAAATCAATTTGGTTTCACTTCACACCAAAAATTGGGACCAACCGTAACCGGACCATTGATGATAATAACAAAACTATGTGCATTTCACTCAACTATATCAGGACACAAAAATTTCAGAAATCTAACACATTCCAATTACTATGTGCATGCCCATGATATATATACCATTGTCATTATCATGTTAGGCGCAAGTGTAAATCGAATATTTGTTTTGGTCCGAGGAGTTAATTAAAGAAAATAAGTAAAGAGTAACTCACCGAATCCATCAACGAGAAGAGTATATTGGTAAACAAGATCCAAGCATAAGTAAGGAAGATTGTCTTCCTCCACACGTGGGAACTTCGATTTTCCTTCTCCTATTTTCATGCTACACGCTTGGATGGCTGCTTTCTCAAAGTCAAGTGGTTGAACCGTAGCTACAGGTTGCGTCGGGTCAACAAAACCAGCCTGACATCACCACCATTGGTTTTTAAGCATAACAAAAATTGTGATGGTAGTCACTGAGTCTTAAAAGGAGATAAATATTTACCTCAGCGGCTCTATCAAAGAAAAAGGATGCAACAAACATATTCTTTTGGCCACCACCGCCTCCACCGTTCCATACTCCACCGAATGTGCATTTCATGTGTGTACACAGTGAATCATTGACTTTGAGTGCGTTAAGAGCTACTCGCCTGCATTCGTCTAGACTTGCGCCAGATGAAGAAGCTTCTGCTTTGAACGCTTTTCCACCATACTTGTAAGTACCTGAAACGAATCATATATTGCATAAGTAAAGCTATCATCATCAAGAAGAGAAATAGTAAAGGGGAGGACATGCAAAGAGGATAACAACACTGATTACTTTGCATATAGAGAAAAAACAAAACTACATGGAAAAGAATATGTAATGCGGTGAGAATAGGATGCAGAGAGTTCTAGCTCTAAAGAGAGTGTTCCTCGATAAATTAACAATGTCTCTCACTCACCATCATAGCCGGTCACAATGCAGGGGTTGTGAGAGCCTTCAGAGACTTTCAGAATTTCCGCTCGCGCAGCCAATAACCCGTAATGTAGGTAGCTGCAATCACCAAGCCAAAAAGATAAGACGTTAAAAGTTAAAATCAACATAAAAACTAGTTTCATGCCTCGCGTGCAGGAATAGCAAATTATCAAATGTGTACAAAAGAAATGACAGATGACCAACCTGTGAACATAGAGGAAATACTTCCGTCCCTTGAGATACATTTCTCTGACATAAGAATCCTCGCCTTGTAATGGTTTTGGTGCAGTTGCAGCATCTTCCTCTGATATAGCATATGCCATTTGAACAGAGCCCCCTCCAAGATCAACCACTCCAACTGTTTCTGAGTAAGGCTTTCCCAAAGTCTTTAGCAAGTAGTTGATGGTCACCTTTAAGAATCGACAATTCAGGAAAAATAATGGAAATTTGTTACTTGACTTCAGGTTGTTTTAAGATAAAAGCAAAATTATTCAGGGAGATCAGTCCTCGGAGCTACTACTATAATCAATTGACAATATTAACTGTATTTTAACATGAGTGTGACACTAAAAGATGGAAAAACCCAACAACATACCCACTGATAAGAACCTTCTTGAGTACCATCCAGAACAGTAACTGCATTTGCCTCAGTCTTCAACCTGCTTCTATCTTTCAGTAGCTCCCTAACCTTAGAAACGAAATTACATAAATTTATGTAAAAGCTAGAAAGGCAGGCAAGTATTTGTAGACATCAGATGAACAAGAGTTACCGCTTGCAAAATGTTTTCAGAGGCTGTATGACCCAAAGCTCTCAAACCTGCAGTTGCCTGGACAAGACACAATGCCAAAACAGAGTAAATAATAACATAAAATGAATAACCATATGAAATGAATAGCTCCAATTATCATAATGTACAAGGAACTCGTTTACATACCCCAACTCTAACAGGAGTCTTAGGACGCAACTCATGTGGAACAGAAGCCTCTGCTTTGTCAAGAAGAGATACCAAAGAGTTTGCTGATTGCCTAGGATCAGTAGGATACGCACTCAACCCTGGTTTTAGCTGAAATCATATCACAACAATAGTTCAGACTCAAACAACTCCAACCAAGTGCATAATAAACAACAATGTTCTAAGAATCGCTAGGCAGTAACTAGGTGTTCTATAAAGGATAGCGCTTAGGCGAATTATTCGGGGCCTAGACAGGAACGTTAATGAATTATTGGTTTATTTTATATATATTTTACATTTATATAAGTTATTTTTGTTTTTGGTTTTAATAAATTATCAAAATTAAATATACAAAATAAAATAAGTTACAAATATTCTTTACTAAGATTATTACTTAATTTAACAGATGTATACTAATTTAAACCGATTATTGCATTTTAAACCAATTTAAAATGGTTTAAACCGACTTAAATCCTAAAAATTGGATTTTAAGAAAACCGTTTCGATAAGAGGGGAGTTGCGCGGCAACTAGGCCGATTTTAGAACATTGATAAACAATGTGTTCTAAAAATCGGTCTATACCGGACGCGGCAAATCAAAATTTCAGAACAATATTTCCAAAAAAAATACTCAAAAATCGGTTTAGGCGTCCGCATAATCAATAATCTCATATAAATTGCCTAATTAGAACCTAAAAATGTCATAGACATTACATATAGACACTTGACAAAAGACAAATTATATTATTGATAACAAACTACAACCCGAATCAAACATCATTTAAAGCTTAAGAGCATCTCCAACCCCACTCCATATTTTACTGCAAAATGGAGTGGAGAATGGAGTAATGAAGAAACAAAAATCTCATTACTCCATATTTGGAGCATCTCCAACCCTACTGCATAATTTACTGCAAAATGAAGTGATGAAGAAACAAAAAAATTATTACTTCAGATATGGAGTAATGAGATTTTTGTTTCTTCGTCACTCCATTCTCCACCCCATTTTGCAGTAAAATATGGAGTAGGGTTGGAGATGCTCTAAGTCACGATAATGCAATACCTGAAGGAAGAGCTCAAGCTCATTCTCCAACGGAACGAGATCCAAATTCTGATCAAAACAGTAAACATGCACACGGCTTCCCGAGCTCCCCGCGTCGAAAATCACTGCGTAGTTCTTCAATCCCCTTCCTTCGCTGTTTCTCAACGTGTACTCCTCGATCACCGACGTCCCCGGCATCAACAGAATCACTAAAGTGATCAACACGATCGGAATCGAGATCAGGAGTATGACACTCCGATGCCTATGGATCTTATCGGAGAGCGACTCGTGCCTCCCGATCGCTCGCTTCGCCGCCGTCATGAGGCTCTGGTGAGAGTCGGAGGTGGGAGAAGTGGCGAGTCCTGACTCGAGTAGCTCGGAGGCGGAAGGGGAACGGTATCGGATCTTGTTGGCGGTTGCGGTGGCGGAGGACGCCGATGTCTGCGGCGGATCCTTTGACGGATCCAGATCGGCGATGGATTGCGATTTGCGAGTGCGGTTTTTGGAATTCTAATTTGTGGTTTACGGATCTGTTTACGTTTTTTAGTGATTTAACGATTTGCGGTTGAGGAAGAGAGTTTGGGTGATATTCACGAAAAGTTGATTGGATTAGTGTAAAGTTTAAGACATAATAAACAGAATTACGAGAGATTTTTTAGTTTCAAGCCGATGGCCGGAGGCTTCTATAGCTCCGACATCGGCTTGTTTAATTTTTCTTATTTCTATTTCTTTGATTTGTTTTCTTTATGGTCTTCTAGTTTGTTTGATTGCCAATTTATTTTGAATCTGGCAAAATTTTGGATTGTTCTTCTGTATGATTTTTCCAATGGATTTGGAATGGAAAAAACTTCGGTTCAATTGAATCGTTTAGAAAAGGTAATTGACAGATCTACTGCGGATGGTGGCGACGGGTCTTACCGGCTTCAATCGTTGATGGTTCTTCACTTGATGGTGATGAATTTTTTGCTGCAAACTATGGTTACTTCGAAAGACAGCATAAAATTCTATGGAACGGTAATCTCTTTGGCTCTGTTATTATCAATAGAGCAATATAAAGAGTTGTCTTCTCTCGTTGGCTCCTACTGGAGTAATAAAAAGAGAGTAACAATCGTTCTCAACTAAGTCTGAAGCGTGGTGTTTCTGGATTAATATGAAGATTATCTCCTACGAGATTCAACTATTTCAGAAACAAATATGGAGCTTTCACATGAAAATTTTTAGTCATCCATACACTAATAGATGTGTTAGTTTACTTTGGATCCCTACTGGTGTATCCCTTTTCTATATTGTTTTTGCCAATTCTCATTGTGTAAAACTATTTGCCTAAATGGCTTAATAATACAATCCAGCGTTAAAAAAAAAAATAAACAGAATTAAAGTTTTAGCTAACGTCTTTAGGGGGGAAGTGGTTTGAGAGATTTAACCGAATCAAATTGAAGACAATCAAGCCAAATAAATCGCAGCTAAACCGAAATGCGTAGTGCTAACGGTTTAGAAGCACTAGAGGTTGCTGTATTTGTTGTAGTATTTACAAATATTTGATTTTTAATGATGGTTTAGATGAATTTGGCTGAATTATAAAACTATTGTGATTTATTTAATATTTTTAATCTTATAAACTTGGATTCTTAGTTTCAAAATCTTATTTAAACACACTCAAAGCACAACAAATCTACAATTTAAATATTTCTAATGAAAATAAATTGTAAAGCATTTTACAGTCACAAAAATTTAATAATACTAAATTTAAATTTTATTATGATTAGGTAAATTTATCATTTTAATACAGGTTAATTTGAATACATTTCATTAGGTTCTCGAAACCACTTAGTAAATGAACCGAATAGAGAACCTATCTAAACCAGTCACTGATAATCTAATGCTACTAAACCGGAAGATAGTCTGAATGATATATGCAGAAACCGGAGAATAGCCACAAATTCATTATATATAAAGCTTGAATCGAAACAATGATATAAGGTTTCTCCTTATTTTGAAATGGAGAAACCTTCTGAATCTTTCTACATCTCAAAACCGGTAAAGAATTGAACCGGTGTTGTCACGATTGGTTTATCCCCTCAGGCTTTCTTTTGTTTCTTCTCCTGGGGTTTCGGTGGTGGGAAGATAGTACGGAAGACCAATGCAGCAGATAAAGCTCCAACGAAGGAACTGATCCAATAGACATAGAAATGGTCCCATGTGTTGTGAGAGCTGTACATGTATGCCCACCCAAACGCCTACATTGCAACACACAAGACGGATTTAGAGATCTTTTAAAGACATAATATCATAACGTGAACAAATGGATACTTACAATGGCAGGATTCATGGCTGGTCCAGTGTATTTAGAGCCAGCAACAACGAAGCAAATGGTTGCAAGAGAGAGCAAGAAGGTCTTGGCAAGTAATCTCCGTGGACCCCTGAGGATGATAAGCAAAACCGCAAAGGTAATACCGAAACTTAAGATGGTTTCAGCAATAGCTCCAGTGTGCACATCAACCTGAAGAGAAGGTCCAGAAATCATGTGCTTGTACTTCTCTGGTATGAACTCCATGATTGCCAATGCACCTCCTGCCGCACCAGCTGCCTGGTTTAATCACCAAAATATCATCTCACATTTCCAGAATTTTTTTTTGTATTTAAAGTAAAAGGGCGTAAGAATCAAGAATCAGTGGAAAGAAGAAACTGAGTTAAAATCATGGATACTTTGATAAAAGATTCTGATTCTCTGTGTTTCTTTTTGTACAAGAAAATCAAGACCCCACTATACTGACCAGATCAAATTTCAAAGTGAGAATATATACTAACAACCAAAATGATGAATTTGAGAAAGAAAAGGTAGAATTTTTACTTATACCAAATCTAGATGGGGTAAACCAGTGGGAAGAAATCTTACAAAAAGCATATACTTTATAGATTGAGATTCAGACACAACAAGATTGAACTTCACTGAGACAAAACACAAGCCTATGTAAGGATATCACAGAAAACAAAAAGTCAAACCCAACAAAGCAAGAAAATAAGACAGTAAGTGTGACTTCAAACTTCAGACAAAAAAAAAAAAAGAAATCCGAAAAGTCTGGATCTTTAGATCAAACCAGTGGGGACAAATCTCACAAAAGCATATACTTTGTAGATTTTGAGATTCAGACACAACTAGATTCAACTTCACAGAACCAAGTCAAACCCAACAAAGCAAGAAAGTAAGACAGTAAGTATCACTTCAAACTTCAGACAAAAAAAAATAAATCCGAATAAGTTTGGATCTTTAGATCAAACCAGTGGGGAAAAATCTCAGAAAAGCATATACTTTATAGATTTTGAGATTCAGAAACAACTAGAATCAACTTCACAGATCACAGAACCAAGTCAAACCCGACAAAGCAAGAAAGTAAAACAGTAAGTATGACTTCAAACTTCAGACAAAAAAAAAAAATCCGAAAAAGCTTGGATCTTTAGATCAAACCAGTGGGGAAAAATCTCACAAAAGCATATACTTTCTAGATTTTGAGATTCAGACACAACTAGATTCAACTTCACAGATCCACAGAACGAAGTCAAACCCGACAAAGAAAGAAACTAAGACAGTAAGAGTGAAATTCAAATTTACAAAATTCGGAATAAAAAGTTTGGATCTTTATATTTAGAAGTATTACCTGAGCAGGTAATCTGATGGCCAAGGTGAAAAGCGTGTCTCCGGGGATACCGGCGGCATAAAACGCGGCGTTTCCGGTAGGGTTAAAGCTCGCGCTACCGAACACAACGGTGAACGTCGAGACGTAGACGAAAATTAGAAACGTGGTGATGGCCAACGGAGCCCAAGTGATTCCCTGAAAACCCGCGGCGGAGATAATCGCCGTCGTTTGTAAACCGAACGTCGCTGAGAGGACGACCCAGGAGAAGGTCATCAGCATGTCACCAAGCGCTGACTTCACAACACCCATTTCTTCTTACTCTTCTGCTTCTTCTTTGCGCGTGAGTATCGATATGTTTTGGGATCTGGGTAGTTGGTCTGTATAGCTTTCAAGTAGATTTATTTTATTATTTTATTTATTTTTCTGTAATGACAATGAAGATATCTTCTTTGTATGATTCACCTAACCAATCGTCTTGCAAAAAAAATGTTACAAAAATACAAAGTAGTACCGTTTATTTTATTGGACTTTTTTTGTTGAAATTGATACGTTGTTTGATATTTTTTATAATAATTTTTCATCAAAACACCTAGATTAGTTAAATTATAAGAGATGTGTGTTCTTTAGTGATTTAGGTCTTCTTTCATATCAAAGTATTATTTTATTTTGATGATCTTTGGTGTTCTTGTTTTTAATTTCCTGACAAAAATAATTGTGTGGGTTTAAGGTGACTATACGTTTGATGACAGACTCATGAGCCATGAACAAATTTGGTCTTGTCCTTTGTTCTTATATCAGGACTGTATTTTGGAGCTGAGACGGGCAAATCGAAGTTTCATTTACTAGATTAAACTTTAAAAGAGTCAATGCATTTTTGAACATTATGATTATAAAGCAACAGATATTTAAAAAATTTTGATGTGTAACTTTTATTGTGGATTTATGTTCATTATGTTGTATGTTTCGGGTTTTGATTTAACATTTTGTTTCTTCTTCTTCTTGTGTTCAAATGGTTTTTCAGATATTAGGAACTTGATTAATTAGGCCTGTAAATCCTTTGTATCAATTGAATTACCATAGGGTAGTTTGTTGACTTCGCTGTGCAACAAATAAATGATTTCTGAAAATAATAAAGTTGTTGCCAAATTGTTAGTCAAATTTGTAAAGTAGTCAAATATACGATATTATCTCTGTCATTACTCTTCATGACTTTAGATGTCTAAAAACAAAGTATCATAAATATTCTTCCATAAACTTCTCTTTCTCTTTATTTTCCTATAAATAGACTACGTGCATGATCTCATTAAGACACGAAACTAAAAACATCTATTAGAAACTAAAAATTCCGGTTCCTAAAAAACGTGACAATGAAGCATACAAAGGGGAGACAAAAGATCGAGATGATGAAGGTTGAAGCCTACAGAGACCGAATGGCTACGTTTTCAAAACGTAAATCCGGGATCTTCAAGAAGATGAACGAAATGATCACACAGTGCAATGTGGAAATGGCTTTCATGGTTTTCACTGAAACCGGAAAACTTTATACATTCGCAAATCCGTCTGTGGAGGAAGCGTTGGGCCGGTTAAAGAGCCCATCGACGTGAAACGTCCGCGAGTAACAGCATCAAACTGCTAGTGGAAGTTCATAATAAGAGACAAAGAAGCGAAGAGCTCATGAAGAAGTATGTTGATCTCGTTGAAGAGTTAGAGATGGAGATTGAGAAAGAGAAGAATTTGAAGAATGATAAAGAGTTAATGTATTTTTCTATTTGAATGTTGTTTTTATCTGTCTTTTTGTTGATATTACTATTTGGTGATAGGATTATTGAGACGCGTGATTCATCAACGTCTCTCTCTTTCTATAGCCATTCGTTGTATTCATTGTGAACCGAATTGCATAAATTTTTTATTGGTTTTAGTCTTTGAAACTATAATTTCTTATTGGCTTTAATCTTTGAGGGTACTGCTAATGACATAAATTATATTTAAAACAATGTTGGGTTTTTAATTTTGATGGTTAAAACTGAAAAAAATGACAATGAAAATTGGCATTTAAAACAATGTTGGGTTTAATTTTTTATGGTTAAAATTGAAAAAAATTGACAATGAAAATTGGCATCTTTATATATATTTTTTTTCTAAAATATATAAAGATTTTATGTTTGTATCAAAATCTTATCCCACTTCTAAGTTCTGTACAAATGTCTTATCTCAATAATTATATTACACTAGTAATAGTTTTTTAAAAAATTTTCATATTATTAATTCCACATATATAGTAATCCCCATTTTATCAGCAAGCTTTGAAACCTATCCTGAAAATCAATTTGAACATTTTACATACCAGAGTGGTCATTTTGTCCAACTGTTTGTTAATTAAAAAAACATACAAACGTCAACTGTTTTTAAAAATATTCATCTAGAAAAGTTTATATGAAAGAAGCCTGCAACATAGACTTATATTTCTTCTGAAATTTATTAGTTGGGGCGTCAACTTCTAGAAATGGGCCTCTCGTGAACACTTGCCAGCCGCATGCCGGTCCACATAGAACAGAATTCACAAAGTACGATGCGTTTCATGCCGACCCGACTTGACCCGGCCCGTGTTATTGTTTATAAAAGAATCTTCTAGCTCATCGCGTGAGCTGCAGACGCCATTACGCCATGACTCGCCACAATTATTTTCCTTAATCACGAGCCAAGGGTGACGACATTTTGCCAAAACAGAATCGCTAACACATTAAAAAAGGCAAAGCGTTGCAGGGTAACTCGGTCATTTGCTCCAGATCTGACTTTTTTTTTTTTTTTTTTAATTTTTTCTCAAGGAAAAACCTCCACCACAAGATATTTTCGACCTCTTCTCCACGTTCTCCTCTCTTTTAAATACACAACCCTCTTCTCAGATCCCACTCACTCTCTGTTAATCTCTCTCTACTAATCTCATCTCTCTCTCTCTCTCGCGTATTTGATTCAAAAATGGGTGAGTATCTCTCTCTGTTAATCGAGTTTGTTTATTTATATATTCGGATCTAATCGTTTATTTTTTTTGAATTTATCTGTTTTTGTTTATGTAGCTGGCGGTAAGATCAAGATCGGAATCAACGGTGAGTCTTCGTTTGTTAGCTCTCGTTTATCTCGTAGATCTATTGAATCTGACGTTTGGTTTTATGTAATCGTTAGGATTCGGAAGGATCGGTCGTTTGGTTGCTAGAGTTGTTCTTCAGAGAGACGATGTTGAGCTCGTCGCTGTCAACGATCCTTTCATCACCACTGAGTACATGGTTCGTTCTTGCTTCCTTCGACGTCGTTTTGGATCCTGGATTGATTATATATATCATTTCGATCTGTTGATTATGTTTATGCATGTGTGTTTGTAGTGTTGATTAGATCCATTAAACTGGTTTAGTTTGTTGGAATCTCATGTTGATTAGCTGATTAGATCGTTTTTTTTCGATCTGTTGATTATGTTTGTGCATGTGTGTTTGTAGTGTTGATTAGATCCATTAAACTGGTTTAGTTAGTTGGAATCTCATGTTGATTAGATGATTAGATCGTTTTTTTTTGGATCTGTTGATTATGTTTAGGCATGTGTGTTTGTAGTGTTGATTAGATCCAATAAACTGGTTTAGTAGGTTGAATCTCATGTTGATTAGCTGATTATATTGTTTTTTCGAGCTGATGATGATTGAATTGGAGTTTTTGTAAAATTGATTAATCTCTGTGTTTTTTGATGGTTGCAGACGTACATGTTCAAGTACGACAGTGTTCACGGTCAATGGAAACACCATGAACTTAAGGTTAAGGATGAGAAGACTCTTCTCTTCGGTGAGAAGCCAGTCACTGTCTTCGGCATCAGGTATTTATCTTCTTTTTTTTTAATTCCTGTGTTTGTATATTTGGTTTTGAGGTTTTCAATCTTATGAGTGATTTGGTACTTTTGAAGGAACCCTGAGGATATCCCATGGGGTGAGGCTGGTGCTGACTTCGTTGTTGAGTCTACTGGTGTTTTCACTGACAAGGACAAAGCTGCTGCTCACTTGAAGGTTTGCTTTTTATATATTACCATTATATGTTTACTGTTCATAAAAATTGTTTCATATTCTATTTAGCTTGTTGGTCTTGGATTAGTTTTTAATTAGTTTAGTGGACACAGACCATGTATATTAGCTTATGTGATGCAATGTTTCAACTGGACACAGACCATGTATATTAGCTTATGTGATGCAATGTTTCAACTGAATGTTTTGGTGGTTTGTTTGTACAGGGTGGTGCCAAGAAGGTTGTCATCTCTGCCCCTAGCAAAGATGCTCCCATGTTTGTTGTTGGTGTCAACGAGCACGAGTACAAGTCCGACCTTGACATTGTCTCCAACGCTAGTTGCACCACTAACTGCCTTGCTCCCCTTGCCAAGGTATAAATTAACTCATCGCCTATTACAGATCAGTTTGATAGTGTTATTTCGAGCTTCGTACCAATCTTAGGTTTCTTCTTGTAGGTTATCAACGACAGGTTCGGAATTGTTGAGGGTCTTATGACTACCGTCCACTCTATCACTGGTGAGTTTCTGAATCCTCAGTACACTGGTTGCTTGTAAGACGAAACTCTGACACTAATGGAATTTTCTTTAATGATAATCAGCTACTCAGAAAACTGTTGATGGACCATCAATGAAGGACTGGAGAGGTGGAAGAGCTGCTTCATTCAACATCATTCCCAGCAGCACCGGAGCTGCCAAGGCTGTCGGAAAGGTGCTTCCACAGCTCAACGGAAAATTGACCGGAATGTCCTTCCGTGTTCCCACCGTTGACGTCTCAGTTGTTGACCTCACGGTTAGACTCGAGAAAGCTGCAACCTACGACGAGATCAAGAAGGCTATCAAGTAAGTAAGCTTTAGGTTTCAGTTAAGCCCAAATCAGTGGTTTTAACATATCTTGGCAAGAATAACTAACTTGTTGAATTGTTTACAGGGAGGAATCTGAGGGCAAACTAAAGGGAATCCTTGGATACACGGAGGATGATGTCGTGTCAACTGACTTCGTTGGTGACAGTAGGTCGAGCATTTTCGATGCGAAGGCTGGAATTGCATTGAGTGACAACTTCGTGAAGCTTGTGTCGTGGTATGACAACGAATGGGGTTACAGTACCCGTGTGGTCGACTTGATTGTTCACATGTCAAAGGCTTAAATCTGAGATGAAGACCTCGAATGTTTGGAGGATGAAGTCTGAACTTGTTTTTTTTTTGTTTTCTGAATAAATTTTCTTTGGGATTTAAAACTCTTTGTTGGGTTTTGGGAGTCAGTAGCCCAGTTGTTGTACTGAGAGGCCCTTTACGTTTGGCTTTTGATGTATCGAGTTACTTATGGTTTTATCAGATTTAACTTCTTAATCATTAAGGACCTTGATTTCTAAAAACATGGTCAAAGGCTAAATGTGTTAACACTGTTTATGAAAGGTTTTTTTAAAAATGTGATAGATGATTTTTAAATCGGTGAGGTTGGGTTATGCTGCTTCTCTTGGTAAGCAACTTCTCCAAGTTTAAATTTGTGTTGAATCACACTGAAATGATTGATAACGAAAACATAAGTCGAACACTATCAAAGCCCAATGCGTTGCATCACACCACACGCTCGAACTCATAATCACATCGACACCAATGTTTCATGTGATTCCACAAGTTTTTCTTCCTCCGGAAGAGTGTATAGCCCAGGGAAAACTAACATTTCCAAACGACTCCCATATCATTTTATCAGGCCACTTCTCTCCCTCCCATATTGTGTATTTCCTTTACGGCTAATTAAAAGTTTAAAACCAACACAAACCAGATTAAATTTAGAACATTCGTCGGTTCACTTTGCATAGTTGCGGTTCGAATTAAATTCTTTTTTGACACTAACAGTTTTCGGGCTTTTAAATGGGCCATCGCATCGGTCCATATAAGTCTGGTCTGAGCAATTTATTAAACCTTCTCAAATCTCTCCGACAAGACTTAGACGGCTGTCGTCAGGTCTTTTCACGATTTCCTTTCGCTCACGTTTTCAGGTACGAATTCGATCTTCAGACACTTTACCTGTCCGAAACTGAGACTAACACTTCATAATCCGCTGTTTTAATTTTTTTTTAGATTCCGATGTCTTGGCTCATCCAAAACCGTGTTAGAAACACTTTCTTACGCCTGAAACCTCTTTCCTCTACCATCATCAAAAACCTCTCTACATCTCCAGAGCCATCACTTAAACAACTCGACGAATCTTCGGAGATATGGAATGTTATCGTAGGTAGAGCAGGTGATAGAGTCAGCGAAGACGAAGTCTTCCACCGTCTCTCAAACGATTCACTCTGCAAAAAAGTAAACCTCTCTGATACTTTACTCCACAAGCTTCTCCACAGGTTTAAAGATGACTGGAGATCAGCATTAGGCGTCTTAAAATGGGCAGAGTCTTGTAAAGGACACAAGAACTCAAACGAAGCTTACGACATGGCTGTTGATATTCTCGGGAAAGCTAAGAAATGGGACCGTATGAAAGAGTTTGTGGAGAAGATGAGAGGTGAGAAAGTTGTGACTTTGAACACTGTTGCTAAGATCATGAGGAGGTTTGCTGGTGGAGGTGAATGGGAAGAAGCTGTTAAAGTGTTTGATAGGTTAAATGAGTTTGGTTTGGAGAAGAATACTGAGTCTATGAACTTGTTGTTAGATACTTTGTGTAAGGAGAAGAGAGCTGAGCAGGCTAGAGCTGTTTTGTTGGAGTTGAAGGAGTTTATTAAGCCGAATGTGAATACTTTTAATATTTTTATTCATGGTTGGTGTAAGGCTAATAGAGTTGAGGAAGCTCTTTGGACGGTTCAGGAGATGAAAGGTTATGGTTTCCGTCCTTGTGTGATTAGTTACACGACGATTATTAGGTGTTATTGTTTGCAGTGTAACTTTGTTAAGGTTTATGAGATGTTGAGTGAGATGGAAGCTAATGGATCGCCGCCGAACTCTGTTACTTATACTACGATTATGTCTTGTCTTAATGCGCAAAAGGAGTTTGAGGAGTCTTTAAGGGTAGCTGCAAGGATGAAGAGATCAGGGTGTGAGGCTGATACTTTATTCTACAACTGTTTGATTCATACACTTGCTAGAGCTGGGAGGGTAGAAGAAGCTGAGAGGGTTTTCAGAGATGAGATGAATGAGAGTGGTGTTTGCGTTAATACGTCTACTTATAACTCAATGATTGCTATGTATTGTCATCACGATGAGGAGGTTAGGGCCGTTGAGCTTCTCAGGGAGATGGAGAGTTTAAAGGTTTGTGAGCCTGATGTTCACACGTATCATCCGTTGCTAAAGTCTTGCTTTAAGAGAGGAGATGTGGTTGAGGTTGGGAGGTTATTGAAAGAAATGGTGACTAAGCATCATCTTAGCTTGGATGAGTCGACTTATACTTTTCTGATACAGAGGTTTTGTAGAGCTGATATGTGTGAGTGGGCGTATTGCTTATTTGAAGAGATGATTAGCCAAGATATTGCGCCCAGGCATAGGACTTGTTTGTTGCTTTTGGATGAGGTTAAGAAGAAGAATATGCATGAATCTGTGGAGAGGATTGAGCATGTTATGAAGACTGTTAAACTTACTGCGCCTGTAATGTGAGGTTATAAGTTAGTTACTACAATGCTGCTGATTCAGAAAGAAGACAAGACTAGATCTTATGCATCAGATGTTCATTGTTATGTTTGTTCAACCACATTCTAGTGTAGATTTCAAGTTCTTTGGTCATGGATAAGTAGAACTTGCTGAGATATGCAACTTATGGAGTTGATTGATTCTGACATAGTTTTAGCAAGTTTTGTTTGTTGTCTGCTTTGACTCAAATCATTGTAAGCGTCTCAGGATCCAGTGTTTTGCCAGGATTCACCACATCGAGAGTTTATGGGAGTGGGATCCAAGGAAAAATAAGCATTGAGTTTAGACACATACATGTGCATTTGGATGCGTCCACACTCCACACCGACAGAAAGGTAGATCCATACTAGTACTATTACCCAAAACAAAATATATATTTTGTTTGGCTTTTTTCCTTATAAAGATAAAGATGAAATAGTCTTCTCCAATCCCATAATAATGATTGTTATGCTTTAACTACAAATCATAATGCACATTTATTGAATTATTGACTATGATATTATTTATAGGGCCCTTGAGGTTTAAGCCATCACAATTGGGCATTTTCTTGTTTCTATCAAAATTTAGAATTGTTAAGAACCACATGTTGTTTTATTGTAAATCAAGTATATTAATATCTCAACAGGCTGGTTTCAACCAAAACGAGTGACGCGCCTAATTACATGAAACATCATTCAATTAACACTTCCTCTCTATAAAAGTTCTTATTCAAATTCTTATAATAATTATAAAAAAATGACTAACAGTTAACAAAGCACGATTCTGTTATGTATACTAGTTAAAATGCAAAACGAAAATTTCCTGCAGCAGTGTAAAATTCTTTTACTATATTTCTTCTGGAAAATCAACAGCTTTTACAGAAGATTTGGAATATACTGTACTAACTACTAACCTTTTCATGATGGTATACTCATATATACAAAAGATAAATCAGGTAAAGATATGGTCCACTCACGGGAATGGAATCTAATATATTTTCGATGCCTATCAAATAATTCTTTTTTTTTTTTCTGGTGAAAACATACAAAAGTGTCTGTCTTCGCCACAACAACACAATCCTCAAGGCTTCTCATTTTTGTTCTCTTCTGCTTCATCTCCTTGTAGAAAGTCTCCATTCATTTCTAACCATTCATATTGATCTTTCCTAATCTCTGTTTTCTTGAAGTCTCCTCTCCTATACATATGCTCTGTTTTCATTAAACTCCATTGGTTTCGGTTTACAAATAAGAGAACCGGTTTTCATTAAACTAAACCGGGAAACGGCCATGCCACCACCGATATTTCCTCTCCGTTGGGAGAGCACAGGAGACCAATGGTGGTACGCTTCACCAATCGACTGCGCCGCAGCTAACGGCCTCTACGACGTCGTAATCGAACTGCTCCACCACGACACAAACCTCCTCGTCAAACTCACCTCCCTCCGCCGCATCCGCCGCCTCGAAACCGTCTGGGACGACGGAGACGGCGGAGATAACTCCTCCTCTTCCCACGTGGCGCTAAACCGCTCCCGCGTCGCGAGGAGGCTGTTGGAGGAGTGCGAGATCGGAAACGGAGATAACTCGCTCATCAGAGCTGGTTACGGTGGCTGGCTGCTATACACCGCCGCCTCCGCCGGAGATTTGGGGTTCGTTAAGAAGCTTCTCGAGAGAGATCCGCTTCTGGTCTTCGGAGAAGGAGAGTACGGCGTGACGGATGTTTTATACGCGGCGGCGAGAGGTGGAAACGACGACGTTTTTAGGCTCGTGCTGGATTTCGCTTTGTTACCGGCTGATATCGCCGGCGTTGAGGAAATAGACGGCGGGAAACTAACGGAGAGGCAGTTAATAGTGAAGGAAGAGATGGTTAAAAGAGGGGTCCACAGTGCTGCTAGAGGCGGACACGTGGCGATTTTAGAAGAGTTTTTAAACTCGGGAAAATACGACGCCGTTTTAGGACTCAGAGATGCTCATGGTTCTACTCTCTTGCACTCTGCTTCTTGCAGAGGTCAAATCAAAGTAAGAATACAACATCAAATAATTCTTTAAATATACATATTAATTCACATATTAAACTTTGGGTATAAATTATAATGTAGGTGGTGAAGTATCTTATAACGAAGTATGATTCAATCATGGCGATTAAAGACAGCCATGGAAACACAGCTTTACATATAGCTGCATACAAGGGACACTTAGCTGTAATGGAGGCTCTTATAAACGAATCTCCACCGTTGATCTCAGCTGTTAACAATGAAGGTGACACGTGTCTTCACATGGTCGTGTCTGGTTTCGCAGCTTCCGGGTTTAAGCGGTTAGACAGGCAGATGGAGCTTCTGAAGAAGTTGATCTCAGGAGGAGGAAGCTTCTCCGTTGACTTTTCTGAGATTGTCAACGTTAGAAACGTTAACGGAAGAACCGTGGTTCATTTAGCGGTGATGGATGTTCTTAACACCGTTAGACATGACGTCGTTGAGATTCTGTTGAGAGTCCCCGGAGTTGATCTCAACGTTGTTGATGTAGATGGGATGACTCCTGTTGATTTGCTTGAACGCCAAACGCCGAGAACAGCGGTTTCTGATTTATTAATCAAACGGCTTAAATCCGCGGGTGGGAGTTCAAACGGCTGCGGTGAGAAGATTATACCGTTTCGAGAAGAGCGTTATGGATTCTGTGGTAGTCCAGGAACTGCGTTTGAGATATCTGATTCTGAGATTTTTCTGTTCACTGCGGCGAGAAGGGATCATCATACCGCCTCAAACGCTGAAATGAGTCCAGACAGAGAGAGTTTAGACGGAATCAGTGAGTGTTCAACCGAAATCTCGACGCATTCAAAACGCAAACGCGGTACAGGAGCTCGTCTCAAGCTTCTGTTACGGTGGGCTAAGAAGGAAGAAACAGAAGAACATCGCCGTTTCTCAGGAGATGGTAACAACCGTCGTGTGCCACTCAGAGAGATGTATTCAAGATCAAGGTCGCCCTCTGAGATAGGAAACAGAGGAAGAGCGTTTCCCCTGAGAACAGAGAGCGGTGATCTCCCGAGCTTATCAGTGAGGTTGAAGTTCACAGAAGGGTTAATGAAAGGAGTGGTGGTTCAGGAGTCACCGAGGTTTGTGTTTTCGCCTCCGGTGGCTTCTGATTACTCTGGAGCTCCGTCGTCTGCTTGTTCATCGCCGTTTCAGACGGTTTCTTGTGAACTAGAGAGGAAAACACCTGCTATGAAGAAACAGAGATCTTTTGTGAACAGGTATTTGTGTTTCAGCGGTAAAGGGTTAGCCTTTGACGGTTCTTCTGAGATGAGTAATGGCTCTGGTACTCGTCTTCGTCCCCGGAGTTTCAAAAGGGTCATGTCTTTGGTTTCTTAAAAACATACTTTCCTTTCTTGTGTCACACGTGACCTAATGCCCATGTATTTTCATAAAAAACGTTAAAAACTGAATACAAACAAAGTATTGTTTTTAATGTAAAAATCATGGTAAAGGATACAAAAGAGGATACTGCCGATGCTCCGTGCAAAGTTTTACTGCATGACCGTCTCAATGTCGGACCAACCTTCTTTTAACTTCAATCTCTTTCTAATGGATTGTATCTATCTTCAAACGAGTTCTGTTTCCTAGGTTCTCGACTGCGGCGGCTGTCGTAACGATCATCCCTTTTGGTTTTGTAATCTGAAGAACTCTTTTCACGAGACGATCTGTGGTTTTGATGATAAGGCTCCCTTTCGTGGCTATGTCTTTTGGTCCTTGTGAATTCATCATCTCTTCCATCACTGCGCTTGTGTGATCTGTGACTCTGTTGTCTCTCTGAGCTGCCTGAATCACATTCCTCATACCCCTTTCTTTTATCTGTATTGATTCTACTCTCCATAGGATGTTCACTATTCTCTCCCTTCCGTTGCTTATAGGATCTTGGTGATGCGTCTGTTAATGTCGTTGATACAGAATTGTATCCAGAGTCAATTTCTTTCTGATCCCTGCTTTTAGAAGATGAGTGTAATGGTATTCCCTTCTCTCCTTTCCGTTGCTTATAGGATCTTGGTGATGCGTCTGTCAATGTTGTTGATACAGAATTGTATCCAAGGTCACTTTCCTTCCGATCTTTGCCTATAGAAGACGAGGAGTGTAATGGCATTCCCTTCTCAAAACATCCAATACCTCCTGCTAGCTTAACTTCTTCTGTAAATCCTTCTATCATATCCCGTAACACCTACAAGGCAAAAGATGGAGAAAACTCACTTAATAATTGAATGTATTATGGTCGTAAATGAACGTATGATTTTAGAAACATCTGCGAAATGCCTCAACAGGACATGGTAGAGCCATAAACATTCTAGAAATTCAATATGCATTATTGACCATTGTGCAGCAAAACATTCACAACACTAAAAATTGTGATCATCATAAGCACGGAAAAGGAAGAGATTACATACCTGTAGAGGCGTTCGTTTCACCTTTTTACCGCGGTAGGACATTCTTCGACGCTTGTAATCCCTCTCTTCAGCTAAAAGCTCTTCTCTTGTCTTCATTTTATTCATATCCTAGCAAAAAACACCTTTGAGTAATCTTTGTTTCATTCATGTTATACAACAGTTATTACTTTAGTTCAGTAATAACCTGATTTGATGAGCGTTGTCTGGGAAGACCATCATGATCAATAATAGGTCGGTAGCTAGGACGTCCCTTCCGTTCCTCATCAGCTTTAGCTGTCATAACACCAAGCTCAGCCACCCTGTACATACCATGAGGAATCAAACTCAGATCCAAACACGATATGTAACTTAAAACACTACAGATATAGAAACTCTGAGATGGACATAGAATCAAGCTGGAAAAACAGAGAATATCCCTTCAAATATTTAAAAACCTACCGCTGATATCTATTTAGTGGTTGTGCATATCGAATTGCTCTTATTTTTCCTTCAAGCATCGATCTTTCATACAACGCCGCAACAGCTGCTGCCACACGAGACACAGATATCACCTGACCACTATCCAAAGCTTTCCCAATCTTCACATCCTCATCCAAATCCTCGACAACACCAGAAGATTCAGGCGACCGAAACAACACAATTCGAGAGGCAGATACTTCAATACACTGTTTCAACATCTCCAGAGCAAAAAACTTCCCGTTCCCTTCTCCATACAACACACCAAGCTGAGAAGCTAACCAAGCCAACACTCGAAACAAAACTGGACACACAAACCTTCTACTCTTACACCTCTCCTCACCCCCAACATCACCATCATACTCTCTCATAAACCCTTTAGCCTCCTTAACAACCGCTCTCATACACAACTTGAACAGCAAGAAAACATGATCCCTCATGTATGTATCGATTATAACACCGTATCTCGTCGAATTCACAAGAATCCACGTCATTAACTCACTCATTACAACCTCTTCTGAACCAAGAATCGAACAAAGAACATTATAAGAATACGAAGTAGGATAATCTCTCCATCTCCCAATCTCACTTCTTATCACCCAAACATCAGACGGTAAGATCTCCAAAACAGAAGAACCAACAAACTCTCCGCATTCAACAGATAGAAGTATAACACTAGGAAGTGTAAAACGCCGCGTTTTACTGTTAAACTCAGAGAAATTAACAACGGCAGGGCAATCGTTGTAGAAGAAGTTGTTCCCGAAGTCTGTGACGTCATCTAAGGAGAAACAGAGATCGTCATCACCATCATCGCCGACGTTATTCAGCTCTGGCTTTACCGTTAATTCGAGCGTGTTTCTGTAGCTACTGAATGATTCAAGGAAGGGAGTGAGATCGAGGGGGTTAGGGCAATGGAGTGAGTGGAGGAAGAGAGCTTCCGGTGGCATTTGGTGGTTAGGATCGAAAGGACATTGAACGAAACCGTCCTTGTGGAGAAGAGAAGATAGATTTTGCGAGAGGGAAGCTAATGTGCGTTGAGATTCAGATAGTAGAGAGTGTAGAGAGGAGAGTGTAGCGGAGAGGTCGCGAATCGGTGGCGGAGGTGGAGGGATGGAGTAAGTGTTGGGAGTTTGTAGAGGAGGAGGGTGGAAGAAGTTTGGATTAGGGTTTAGGTAGTTAGGAAACGACGGTGGTCGATCCATCCGGCGACGGCCAAGTTTATAGGCAGAAGCTGATTTGATGCGAAGACAAGACATTTTTTATTTCACGTTTAATGTGCCGAATGTTAAGCCCATTTAGTTAGGCCCATTTATCTTTAACGTCAGGCCCATATTCTCAGTGCCTATTAAAACCCAAATAATTTCAATCTGCCAATGAAAAAATACAACCCGAACTACATTACAATTCAAAAATACGATCTGAACTTTAAAAACTTGCCTAAACAAACTTGTCTGTTTTGATTTCATTATTTATTTAAAAACTATGTTCATTTCAGATATTGAACCCGTGTCTTATCACTCTTTAAAATAGACATATTAACTACCAGATTAAAGTATTTTTTTAAAAAAATTATTACACTTTTAAAATTATATATGCTACTAAAATTATTACACTTTTTCATTAAATTTTTTATTATTATTATTTTTTATACTTATAAATACATTAACATGTTTTTTAATTATTATACCTTTAATAAACTTATATTACACTAAAATATAAATAATGGAATATTTATAATTATACAACATTAAATATTTCAAGTTTTGCAACTATTTACAAAATGTCCATATATATATAAATATAACCTGATTTGGTTAATATCACGAACATTGTCAGAATCCAAATTAATTCTAGTTACTGCAAAATTGTTTCTTCTTCACAATGTTCCTGCATGTAAGTTCTATGTCTGCAGATTCTTTGTACTCAGCTTCGTTGTAAATATCTTCACAGCCTCCATGGTCATCATGAACATCAGAGTTATCCCAGAGCTTTACAGCAAAGTCTTTTACATCCCAGTATGTACCAGCGACATTGAACTCGAAATGAAGCTCGCTGAAATTCACATCTGTTTCAGGAAGGTTTAGTGAAATGGAAGATTCCAAGAAATACAGATGCTCCTTAGATCCAAGTATTGCGGGTAGCTGGTAACTGCATGATCCATGTCCAGCATAGACGCCATTCTGAACGTACGATATGTCACAGAAAAGCCTCTTGGCACCCATCCCTTCATCTTCCTTATCATACCAATCATACCAAATGGCATCATTGTCCTCTATATAGTGCCCATGTAGCAGCAAAAGGCAAGCTTTAAATCTGAAGAATAAAGGAAGAGGGCTCTGACACAAGTTGACAGTTAGTAAACCCTCTCTTGATCGGTGATCAAAGTCTGCAGGCAGTTCTCCACCAGGTAAGAGCGCAAACTTGCAATCCGATACCTCGATGAGTTCTCTTGCTGCTTCACTTAGCTTGGAACAATTAGCAAAGCTGAGACATCTCTCTGGATTGGTAAAGAAGCCATCTATTATCTTCAGCGACTCACAATTAGATGCATTAAGGAGTGAAACGGAATACGGAATGTGGGGCAATGACACAAGACTCTTACACCCTTTGAGGTTTATACGTAACGGTAGAACAGTCTCCGAATCACCACGTGAGAAATCTCTTCCCGTATCGCTCAGGTCCGAGTCCAACTCTTCAATGTTGTCACGAAAACTATGGAACACCCGAAGGCTGCGGCAATCTTCCAAGTTCAATTCAAGAAGATGGGACCAAGACCATAAGGATGAAGGGACTTCTTCTATAGCAGTATCGCTCAGATTCAGATATCTAATGCTTCTAGATATCTCTGGAAACGTTCTCAATTGTGTGCAAGAACTGAGATCAAGTGAAGAGAGAGATCGCAGGTTAACCTTGGTTGGAAGGACCTTTAGCTTCTTGCAGCGAGGCATGCTTAGTTTAGTGAGACGTGTGAGATTATGAATCGATGGAGGAATTTCTTCTATTCCCGCATTGTGCAATTGTAACACTTCGATGGTGTCAGGAACATCTGGAAACACCCTGAGACTTTCGGCCGTCATTGTTGAGAGTTTACGAAGACACGAAAAAGCCATGATTGATGAAGGAAATTCTCCTATCGCTGTGTTACTCATATCAAATTCTGTAATGTTTCCGGAAATATCAGGAAAGCTTCTCAACTGTGACCCCAAATGGTTTAGCTTTGGGCATCCTGCAATTAACAGTTTCTTTAACTTCTTAAGGCTCCAAATAGAGGAAGGGAGTTCAACCAGACCCTGGCACACCTGGACATCCAACGTCTTGAGATTAATAGCGTTCCCAATGGAAGAGGGGATCACAATCAACTCAGAGCAACCAGCGAGATGCAACTCCTCGAGACTAGTGGACTTCCCAATAGAGGAGATCTCCGACAGACTTGAGCAAAAACCAGCACTCAGTACCTTGAGATTAGTGGCATTAGATAGATCCGGAAGTTCTTTGAGGTAGTCGGAACTAGACAGCTCTATCAACTTCAGACATGGGAGAGGCTGCACGTAGTATAAATTAAGCCTGAACTGCGTTTATAACATGAAAAGCAAAGAAATTAAATGGTAAAATCACATAAAAAACTACTTACAATAGTTCCTTCCCACAGCTTTTCAAGCTTGCTGTGCTCCATCATAAGTTTGACAAGACGTCGCGGTTGAAACTCACGAGGAAAACATGTCAGCGGAAACTGATCCCATTCAAGAAATCTAAGTTTACGAGCTCTAAACTTCAGACCCTGGGGTAGGAGAATTGTGGTGTTGTAATACAAACCACGTTTCTGGAATCTTAAGAACTGGAGCCTAGACATCCCTTCAAAGGCTCGCTCGTCAATGATTAGTTCTCCCCTGTCCTCCGAAAGGTCAAAATCTATTCCTCTAATAGTTTCAGTGCCCTGAAAGAACTTCAATTAGCTACAAATGATCGAAAATAGTCGCAAGAAAAGACTGGATACAGTTTATCTCAAAACTTACAGCATTTTCCTCGAGTACATCACAAATGTCCTGAGCATCAACTAAGAACTGACGTTTCCCAGGATCAGAAACAGACTGTTTACGAACAATTTCTTTGGCCAATTGCTCCAGCAAATTATGAACCACCAACAATCCCCATTCGTCTTTAGATATGAAACATTTATCGAACAACACTTGGAGCCCGTGTTTGACGTTCAAACGACTCTCCGCAAGACAGTCCACCACGTCATTAATGCACCCATCTTTGAAAAAACATGCTATATGAAGAAACAATTCTTGATCTTCCTCGCATAAAGCATCATAGCTGAACCTTAATACTTTCCCAATCTCCCCATCAAGACTCGTCCTAAGTCGAGGCAATGCATTTATCCACTGATCTCTGGACATTCCTCGCAGATATGCGCCAAAAACACGTAGACCTAAAGGAAGATGACCTGCGAGCTGTGTAACTTCTATGCACATGCCCTCAAACCCATATGACGGTGCATTTTGACGAAAAGCAGACAGACAGAGAATTTCAAGTGCTTCAGATGTAGATGGAAAATCCACATGGTAAATATGGTTGATCTCATGTGCTACCAAAAGCTTTTTATCCTTTGTCGTGATGATAATCCTACTTTGAGGCCCAAACCAGCAAGTTTGGTCAGTCATGGCTTCTAGCTGCTTTAACTCCTCCACATCATCAAGAACGATAAGCACCTTCTTGTTCTCCAGTCTTGCTTTTGCCACTCCCAGATGATTTACTTTTAGATCTTTCTGATTTAAGGTCTTAGACAAAAGTCGTTCTTGTAAATGCAACTTGAAGGCGTGCGCGTCTCGATAGTTTTGCTCAAACTTTCCTTCTATACTCTCAATAAAAGCAGCATGTGTAAACTTACTAGAGAGCTCTTTATATAAAGCTCTGGCGATGGTCGTCTTACCAATTCCAGCAGGACCCCAGATACCAACCATCCGGACTTCATCGGATCCTAGGGACAACAATGACTCTATCTCCCTGATATGAGTTCCAATCCCAACCAAGCTGTTGGAATCATTTGATGTTGTACAATCGTTGAACTTGTTCGAAATATCGGTAACAATTGTTTCAATCATGACTGCATCATCATCACTGAAAGAAAAAGAGATTAGTTTCAAAAAGTAAGGAAATAAATGACACATACATGAAAAATATATCAACAGTACAATGAAAATTCACTTGATAATGCCCAATTTCTATCATCTTCCCAGATCTAAACAAACTTATCTCGAAAAGTATATAATTAATGATCCTATCTCACTCCCTCGCTAGTGTTTACCAGATATATATACAATGAGATGTGTTAAAAAGATTAGGACCAATCAATCAAGTGGAAATCGAAAGGACTTACTAGTTAACTGTATGGTAACCAGCGATCTGAGCCACATTCTGCAAAGCTTCTCTCCATCTCTCAACTTCTTCCGTTGATTTCTCTGCACAAGTTTTATCAAAGACAGCTCCGAAGTCTCCCTTCTGCTTTTTCACGTCAGTTGGATCCACTTCATAGAATATCACTTCAACCATCTGCGCATCTTCATCTCTGCACTTCATAATCTCCACTAACTCGTTCAGACACCATGTTGATGACGCGTAGTTCTTCGAGATCAAGACAATTACAATTAACGATCCTCTTAGAGCTTCTGTAAGCTTGGGACCAATCAACTTGCTCCTCTCTATGTCATTGTCTATGAAGACGTCGATACCTTTCTCTTTGAACTCCTTCAGCAAGCAGCTGAGAAAGCCTCTACGGACATCTTTCCCGTGGAAGCTCGGAAAGAAATGGTGTTTACAATAGCGAGGCAAAGCAGAAACAACCATCAGAGATGAAAAAAAGAACAAAAGAGTTTTATGGACACAAATGTATTATCAACGTAGTAACCCACTTATAGAAGAAAAGTATGAACTCCATCAAAGTCTTTTATTACAATCAGGAAAATTCGTGGAAGGAGCTGTAGACTAAGACAACTGGGGAAACACATGACTTTAAGGTCAAATTGTTGACTGACAAATTGATGTTCCAATCATGTTAAGGATCCACCATTGTTTATATGTCTCCACAGACTCATATACATGTTAGTTTCAATAAAAATGTCTTTAACATTACTTGGTTTCAAATGATTTCCATTCATCTTAGTTAATTTAAGACAACGAAAACTACTTCAATGGATAATAAAAGAAAAAGCTATGTTTGCAGAAAAAAATTAAGAAGCTATAAGTCTATAACCCGAAATCCATATTGTCGTTAGTCTACTACAGGAAGGAAAAAGACAAGAGAATTACACGGAAGCAAGTAACCAAATCAAAATCCAACTCCACATATATGCAGTTTCATGGCAATTGGCAAAGAGAACAACAATACCTCATAATTGAAGTTGCAAAAGTCACGACTGAACAATCTACTTTTGTTTTTTCTTCAAGAGAGCCTAAAGAGGGCATGTGACTAACAAAATCAACATTTACAGCAATCCGATCAGTTTTAGTGAACGGCGGCAATACATAAAAGTTTTCTCAAACTAAATTCACACGCAGCAGCTGAAAATCTTGTACACTATATACACCATGAAATACTACACAAATCTGTTGTTCTCCACTGCAAAAAAAAAAAAAAGGAGATAAAGAAATAAACAAACTCGACTGTATAGTTTAGTATTAACCTGATTAGTTCCGTTCTTCATAACGCCAAGCTTAGCTACGCTACAGAGTTATCTGTCCACCACACAAGAAGAACCAACAAACTCGCTGCATTCAACAGAGAGAAGGAGAACACTAGGAAGTGTAAAACGCCGCGTTTTACTGTTAAACTCAGAGAAGTTAACAACGGCAGGGCAATCGTTGTAGAAGAAGTTGTTCCCGAAGTCTGTGACGTCATCTAAGGAGAAACAGAGGTCATCGACGTTATTCAGCTCTGGCTTTATCGGTAATTCGAGCGTGTTTCTGTAGCTACTGAATGATTCAAGGAAGGGAGTGAGATCGAGGGGGTTATGGCAATGGAGTGAGTGGAGGAAGAGAGCTTCCGGTGGCATTTGGTGGTTAGGATCGAAAGGACATTGAACGAAACCGTCCTTGTGGAGAAGAGAAGATAGATTTTGCGAGAGGGAAGCTAATGTGCGTTGGGATTCCGATAGTAGAGACTGTAGAGAGGAGAGTGTAGCGGAGAGGTCGCGAATCGGTGGCGGAGGTGGAGGGTGGAAGAAATTTGGATTAGGGTTTAGGTAGTTAGGAAACGACGGTGGTCGATCCATCCGGCGACGGCCAAGTTTACAGGCAGAAGCTGATTTGATGCGAAAACAAGACGTTTTTTTATTCCACGTTTAATGTTAAGCCCATTAAATTTAAGCCAGGCCCATTTTTTTAATGACGTCAGACATGTAGTTTAAAAAGAAAACTAGATTTTGAACCCGCACATCCGTGCAGGTCTTTTTCATTTTATAAAAATATAACAAAACCTTTCAAATATATATGATTTACATTCTATTGTTATATATTGTATAATCTTATAATTTTAGTTATTTTTATATAATATATTATTGTGAGTTTTAAAATAAAAAATATATTCATATATAATTTTTTATATAATGTATTTGTTGTGAGTTAGAAAAATATATGTTAATTTTTTTTGTATAAAAATATTATATGATTTAAAAACTTTAATATGTTTTAAAAGTGAGTGATATTTATTTATTTATTTGAATATAAGAAATTTTTAATATAATATAGAATATAACTAAATTATAAAATATAAAAAATGTTATTTTTAATTAACATTAATATAGATATTTATATATATTAATCATGAAATTTAATAATGCATATTTTCTAAAAAAATATTTAAACTTCTTAGTAAGATCTTGTTAGATATTTTCTCAACAAATTTATTACTAATATCTTAAAATATTCCTCCAATTATATATATTTGATTGATTATTATAAATAATTAAATATGTCATATTAATAAGATGGTCCAATATGATTTTTTGTAGTAGATATAAATGGTACTTCTCTTTTAATAGAGAAGATGGACTTCGGATCAATGTATTACCCTCAAGAAATATGAATTCGGATCATGCAAGCACATGTGGCCAGGTATGGGACCCCCATTATTAAGGGGCCCCACTTTTTTATATGTATGTTTATGTATATTGTTAACTGTAAAGAATGGACAAGAAAACATTTTTTTGTTGTGTGTAAAAATCAGAGAATAAATACTGTGTGAACCCATATGAATACATATTATACTAATAAGTTAAACGTTTCTATCTCAATTCAAGAGAAGAATACATGAGTTCTTAGTTTCTATCTTCTTAAGAACAACTGCTTTATTCAAAAAAAAAAAAATAGTGAAACAGTTTAACAATTCAATTCAACTGCTGTATAGAGGACTGTCTTTAATTGGGTGCATGCAAGCACATATGGCTTAGTTTCTCCTCTATTAGTATTTGATAAGTTTAACAACTCTTTTTGGTTTAAGAGAGGCTACCTCCAAAGAGTTGCTTCATCAAAGGGCTACCTTAGTATGAGAAACAGAGTTAAAATGTTAACGAAAAGTTACATACTTGATTGATCCAATGCAAGAGCATATAAAGGTACGTATGAAACTGATATATAACATTACTCCTTATGATAAAGCAAATATTAAATAACAAACAATCCCAATAACTTATTGACAATAACCCAATAAAACTTAGCTATACTTGAGAGACTGAATGACAAACAATCCCAATAACTTATTGACAGTAACCCGAATAATACTACATACTGCTATATCATATTATATTATTTGAGGAACTGAAGAACCAGTTTCTGAATTACGTAAGCAAAAGACTATCACAATGATTGACAAAGGTTAGAGCAAAGAAATATGGAATCTCATCCACTCCGTCGATCTTAAACAATCTCACAGTAAGTTTACAGGCAGAAGCTGATTTGATGCGAAGACAAGACGTTTTTAATTCCACGTTTTGATGTGCCCAATGTTAAGCCCATTAAATCTAAGCCAGGCCCATTTTCTTTATAAAATACAAAAATATTTGATTTTGATATATTTTGACTAAATTCGATATAATTTAACTAAATATTATCAAAATATATTGAAATGTTTAAAAAATAAAAGTATTTTTATCCCCTAGCAAAATATAATCAAAATATATTGAAATGTTTACAAAAATAAAAGTATTTTTTAGTAAATATAAACAAAAAATATAATGTTAGATTGCACTTATATAAAATTTAATATATATCTAGATTATTAATTTATGATTTTAATGGGATCATATATTTACATGATAATTTTAAAAATACTATTATCTTATTATTTTATCAATTTATGTCATATTTTACACCGACCCAAATTGGGACTGGTGAAATTTATTAATTTCTAGAAATTATTAATTTATCGAGTATTAATATATAGAGGTTCTACTGTATTTGATAAGGTTTACAACTCTTTGGTTTAACTAAGTGAGGCTATCCCCAACGAGTTGTATAACTCTGTTTCATCAAAGGGCAATCTTTGTATGAGATACTGAGTTGAAAATGTTAATGAATGGTAACCTACTTGTTTGGGGGGCCAATGCAAGAGCATATGAATAAAAAAAGTATGAAACTAATATAGAACATTATTTCTTATGATAAAGCAAACATTAAATAACAGACCCAATAAGACTTACTTAGCTATAGACTATAGTACTACTTGAGAGACTCATTGACAATAATACTAGTGCTATATTATTATTATGATGAATTGAGGAACTGAAGAACCAGCCAGTTTCTTGGATTACGAAAGCAAAAGACTATCACAATGATTCACAAAGGTTCGACCAGAGGAATATAAATCCTCATCCACTCCTCCTTCGACCTTAAACAATCTCACCTTACGTGTGGCTGTGTCGTAATACAACACAAAAGGAGTTGTTTCTTTCCAGGGCGCCCCCAACTCCGTTGCGAAAACAAGTATAAGCTCCCCTGTTGCTCCATTAATGGTACCTGCGCAACAAAACCTCACATTCCGAACAGCATCTCCCAAACAAGGAATCACAACCGGCTCTTCCCTCCATTTTCTTATTGCATTTTCATCTTTAACATAAATCTCATACACTCTAGTGCCGTCCTCCATCACATGATTCACATCCCCTGAGTCTTTCACTAAGCAAACTTCCCCGTTATAGTTCACCAATCTATCATCAAAGTCCGCAAGTTTTACTCCTTTAGGCATGTCTATAATTGTGAACACCTCAGACCTCATGTCGAAGCTTATTATCATAGATTTATCCATCTCCACAAGGGACTTAGCTCCATAGTATAAAACTCCCTTCAGACATAGTGATTTAGTAACTGGGACATGATTATGCTCACATTTGATCACTCTCCAAGGTTTTTCTTTGATATTCTCGTTGAGCTCGGCTAGCTCAACCGTGAAAACTTGTTGTCGCATTAATGGCTTATAGTTATGCGAAAATTTACGTGTACAACGATAATCAGTTTCCGAGATTAAAAATGTGAATACTTTTGTAACTTCATCGTATCCGAAGAAACAAATTATTTTCGACTCTCTTTCTGGTCGAAGCCTTTTGCATTCCGGTAAAGCCTTAAACTTGTTGGTGGCCGGGTTGCATAGCACAAACTTTGTTTCATATCCAAGACAGACCAAACCTCGTTGGGGTGCACAAAACATTTTATACTCTCGTGCTGAAGAGATAATCATCTTTTTTAGAGCAGACGACAACAACGGTTCCTCTTGTTGATAAACAGACTGTAACAAATAATCTGAGTGTTGGGCGAACGTCCGAATGTAATCGAAGAGCAAGCGAGGTCTTGTAATGGATTGGGCCCAGTAAAGCTTTTTGAATTCTTCTCCACGGATTGTTGATCTCCATTTCTTGCAGACACAGATGCATTGATCAACCAAAGATTCAAGAGGCACACGTACCATAATTTCTTTCAGTATATCTTCAGGAAGTTCTGAGATATCAGTTCTCTCCATTATTTTTCTTTGTGTTTTTCTCTAATAATTGTTATAAGATATCTGTAATGATTAATCAAGATCAATACACACAAAGACAAAATTTATAGAAAACTAGATATGGGTTGCACGACTTTTATTTGATGTTTTAATATCTATAAAATATAAAAATAATAATCCATTTTATAGTTTTAGGATTTTTTGCATATGTTGTGTGAGATTTCTTTACAAATTAAGAATTCATTTTTCCATAAAAGTTTTCATTAGAATTTACATTTAATAAGTACAGATTTTCTTTGATGTTTTAATTTTACAAAGGACATACAAAATAATAAATTGTTTTATATTTTAGGATTATTTTGTATATGTGTGAGATTTATTTCAGAATTTAGAATTTGTTTACCCACGTAAATATTAAAAAATATTTGTATTTTAATAATCATGGCATATAAGTGAATTTTTTTTTAATTTTGTACCTAAAGCGAGAGAAAATATTTTTTTTCTATAAATTTTCACTTTGTGTGTTTTGGTCTTGAATCATTACATATATCTTATAATATTTAATAGAGAAAGGACATAAAAATTCATAAATTGTTTTGGTCTTGAATCATTTTATAGTTTTATGATTTTTTGCATATGTTGTGTGAGATTTCTTTAGAAATTAAGAATTCATTTTTCCATAAAAGTTTTGATTAGTATTTATATTTAATAAGCACATATTTTTTTGATGTTTTAATTTTACAAAGGACATAAAAATAATAAATTGTTTTATATTTTAGGATTATTTTTGTATATGTGTGAGATTTATTTCAGAATTTAGAATTTGTTTACCCACATAAATATTAATAAAATATTTGTATTTTAATAATCATGGTACATAAGTGAATTTTTTTAACTTTGTACCTAAAGCGAGAGAAAATACTTATACTTAAAAATTTAAACCAAATCCTGCTTGAATTAAGAATTAGAGTGAAATAAAAAAAACTGAAAATTAAATAAGGTAGATGACAATATCATACAATTGTCACTTCTTAATTTGTGATGATAAATCTTAAAATAAATAAATCAATTAATTAATAAGGTTGATGAAGACGATCTTAGAGGTAATTAAGAAATTCTTCTAATTTCATTTTCAGTATATGATATTTAATACTTGAGAGATTGAATGACAAACAATCCCAATAACTTATTGACAATAACCCTAACCGTGAGACTCGCTTAAGAAAAAGGGTATTTCGGATTTGGTAAGGATATTTCGGATTTTTTTTAAAAAAAGAAGAGAAAAAAAAGATGACCATTCGCGGGCAGCTATGTGTTCTGGGACCCACAAATAGTGTAAGGATTCGCTAAGAAACAGTCCTTATTTAGGGATTTTAAGGATCGAATCCTTAACTTTTTGTGGGGTCTACTGATTATTTAATTATTTCTTTCTTAAAGACTCCCTCTAAGGACTCGCAACCGTGAGACTCATAAGAGTCCTTAAGAAAAAAGATATTTCGGATTTAGTAAGTATGTTTCGGATATTTTTTTTAAAAAAACAAGAAAGAGGCAGCCAGATACAAAACATGGAAATTACAAGGAAGCAAGTAATCAAACCAAAGTCTCCATCATTATCTAATTTCACAGATATGCAGTTTCATGGCAAATAGAATCAATACCTCAAAACTGTACAATCTCTGAAGATGCTAATTCGTTTTTTTTTATTATTCTCCAAAGAGATAGGATAAGGAAATGTAATTTGATTGTTTCTCATCCACTTTCAAAGGTGCAGAGACGGATACAATGACACTATTAATGCCACACGATGACACTTTCCATCAAAGCGTATACTGTCTATATCCTATAACACAGAGAAAAGCTCAATGAACACACAACGCAATTAAAAAAAAAAAATTAAAAAATGCAGGCGGAATCTAACGAATATACTCACCAGTCACCAATGTGCTTTGCAGGAGTTCCTTCGACGGCCGGCGATTGTATCGACGAGAGAGAGGAGGTGTTTTGCGTATTCCCGAAGCTGAAACTGAATCCGAATGCTCAGACGCTAGAGTTAGATCCAAAACGTGAAATGTGGCCATTTCTGTATTCTAGAAGCTCACTGAAACCAAAATTGAACGCTCAGAAGTTAATTTAGTCAAGCATCGTCGTTGCTAATTGCTTTCTGGGTAACTAATTGTTTAAAGTAATGGGCCAATTGGGTAATACAATGTTTAAAGTAATGGGCTAATTGGGTAATACAATATTTAAAGTAATGGGCCAGTTGGGCCTGCATTAGTTAAGTCTTCTATTTTTAATGCGAAACCCATTTACACGGTAAGGATCAATCAGACAATCGTGTTTCTCTATTTCTCTTGTATGTACGAGGCTTATCACAGACTAAAATTGCTTTCAAATTCATTTGAAGAAGGAAATTTTACAAAAGTTAGAGAAGGATAAATCATCATAAGATAAACATATTATTCCACATACATATTCCCATTCTAAAAGAGATCTGTGAAAACTACTTAGTGTTTTCTTTTTCATTTCAAAAACAATGAAGCTCCCATGTTCCATGAATAGAACTCTACAACACAAACACATAAACATGTTACAAAACATAATTGGCTGAATTCTTCCTACAAAAAATACATCTTCATCATTAAACTCGAAAAAAATACATAATTTAACAAAATGTAACTACTTGTCAGACACTATAGCAGAGTGATTCAATGTCTCATCAACCTAAGCTTCATAAAAAAAGATCCTCCATCACTTGATCAACTATAACTCCTAGCCAAATCATTTCACCAATACCAAAATAGTTTCACCGACCAATCAATTAATAAAGCAAAGCAAGACAGTAATCGAGCAGACATCGTAAAAAAAACATAAGTTCTTTAGCGAAGTAACCATTATCCAATAACAACGATAATAATATAAAAAAAACGCAAATGAGAATCTAACGTCTCACAATTCAACAACTCATTTCCGGTTTAGCAAACAACAAACCCCAAACCAGATTTGTCTTAACGGTAACTCTTCTGGAAACGAGAACGAGCCCCACGACCACCAAACTTCTTCGGCTCACACCTCCTCGGATCCGCCACAAGCAGAGTCCTATCATACCTAATCAGAATATCCTTCACCTCCTTCTTCGACTGCTCATCAACGTACTTCTGGTAAAAAGCCACAAGCGCCTTAGCGATACTCTGACGAATCGCGTAGACCTGGGAAGTGTGACCACCACCCTTGACACGGATCCTCATGTCCACGCCTGCGAAGCGGTGCTTCCCTAGGAGAAGGACAGGCTCGAAGATCTTGAATCTGAGGATCTCAGGCTGGAACAGCTCGATCGGGGAGCCGTTGAGTTTGATAAGACCGCAGCCGCGTCTGCAGTGGGTGACGGCGACGGCTGTCTTCTTACGCCCGAAGCATTGCACGGATTCTTTAGCTGGTTTCGTCGCCATGGTTTAGGGTTTATGATTCGGTTGCTCACTTGCAGCAGCCAAAGTTATATATATGAGAAGAAGGAAAATGCCCTAATGAAAGGTCTCCGAGGCGAGAGTAAAGGTTTTTATACGAGGTGATATGGTAATGGGCTTAGTTAGATTTAAAGGCCCATTAAGTCTAAGGTAACCAGGGGCTAATTATATGATTTGGGGCTCAACATCACATTCAAAAACAATTTCAAATTTGAAGTTTGAAGGTGTCTTAAAAGTTTTGTATTTTGCATTATAGTCTTCACAATTATTATAAGTTAATAAAGAGTATAAACATTTATATAACAACAGAACATCCTAAAAAATATTATAAACAAGAAAAAAAATTATTTTATAATAGAAAATACATAAAAATAGTTAAAACATAAAGTTTAAAACATTGACAAATAAGTTCATAATATTTGTTGACAAAAAAATTCATAATATTTAAACAAAGCAAAAGATTATGAATTAAAATTATTTACATAATGCTCCTATATAATCAATCAGTGCATTTTGAAGTGATAATTGAGTTTCTTTATTTTTATTGGTAGATTACGAGTTAAAAATTATTGAAATTTTGTATTTTTGTTTGTTGCCTTTCGACTTGTACAGTTGGTGTTGGTCTTGCATCTCTAATTGATGCCTTGATTCATCCTCAATAATCATGCTATACATTATAATATATTATGTCATTATATCATGTAATATCTCTTTTCCAATTGTGACTCGCTCCTTTTTGATAGAAAACTTGGATTGTAGATCTTCAAATGCATGTTCAACATTTTTGTGATATCTTTTTGACGTAGTGCAAATAATTTCTTCTTTGGACCTTACAGATTGCTTATAGTTTGAAAAAATAGTTGACCACTTCGGATAAATTCCATTAGCTTAATGATAACCCATGTTATACTTTCTTATTTAGATAAAAAAAATAGATGGAAAAATGATACCTTAAAAAACTATGAAAAATAAATTAGAACACTTCAAAACATTAAAGTCGTTGTTTCCGGATATACAAAAATAGGTATGTCATATCCATAAATCATAGTTTTTTTTGGTAACAAAATCTAACAGTTATTATTAACTATTCAAGAGATAAATCATTCAAGCCTGGTATCCTTTTTTTTGACATTTCATGTATTATCAAACAATAAAATATATAATGTAAAAGATATAGTATATTATGTATATATATATATTGACTAAATGATATAATATCTACTATTATATTATACACAGGAGAGAAGCATACGAAATTCATGCACATAGTGTGTATGTATATATATAAATATATTCTATTTTTCATTTTATTTATGCGAAAATAATCTAAAAATTACTTTTATTGTAATTTTGATACTAATAATGTTATATTTATAATTCATTTCTATAGTCCTACTTTAAAAGTTTAATTTCTTGCCATTCCCTTACAGAAAAAAAAACAAAGACCTCGTTATTGCATGTATTACACTAACTTTATACAACACACAACTTCAGTCATTTTGTTTATCTGAAATTAAAATCTGACAAGATATGGCATACAGAAAATGTTCACACAACAAGATATGGCATATGCAGAAAATGTATAGGAAACAGTAGGCATATTCAACAATCCGATCCTTTGTTTTCGGTTCAAAAGCTCTAGAGCAAATCAAGCATTACCGAATAAAACCAATACATCCGAAAAGTCAAATAAAATATTGGTTAGCCTAAAATAGCAAATTTGAACTTTCCAGAGATATATAGAATCATAGATGCTTTGTAAAGTGAATACAGATTAAACTAAATACAAAAAAATTACTCAAACAGAGAGAATATAATCCACTTTAAACACTGACATAACCGAAGCTTTTTAGATTTCGACTCACGAGTTTTAGCTGCAAAAGGATCTAGTAAATTCATTCTACTGTTTTAAAAGAACCGAGAGAAAATAAAAGAATCTAGTGAATTCATTCTACTGTTTTAAAAAGCTAGAAATACCAAATGCGAAAGTTTCGATTTTTTTTGCTATCTGATTGATATCCGAACAGCCGTCAAAATAATTATGATAGATATAATTGAATGTCTACCATCCAATGCGTAATCAAATCTATCTAAGATGATATAAGCCGCTGAAATCAGAATTTACTCCTTTCTGCATAAACTTATCATTTTCAAAGTAAGATATGCTGTATCTTCTTTTTGACATAGAAAAAGTGAAGTAAGCGCGTATAACAGAAAAAAGAAGAAATGTTATGTGTCTCGTATTTGTAATTAGAACTAAAAGAATATAAAATATAGGTTATTTCTCAATTTAAATATAACATAATATAAAATCTAGCTGATACATAGTAGAAAATAACATCATTCAAATATTGTGGTTCTAACAAAAGTTAACACTTCTGGAAAATAATATAAAGGGGGCAAAAATGTACAAACCAGTTAGATTTATTTTTATTTTCTGCTAAACGACCAGTTAGATTTGCGAGATATCATTTTCTAAAACATAAACCAGACACAAATATATAGTTCAGTTGATGTTATAATTAGACTTATTCTTGGGTTTATCCCATAGAATGAACATCTAGATTCACTAACCAATATCATTGAATTATTTCATATTTGATATCTTTTAAAAATAGAAATAAAATATTATCAATTATATTATTTTTTTAAATAAAAAAGGTAAAAATAAATAAAAAAGTATAGTAGTTGCAAAAAAAAAAAAAATCAGTATTTTTAACACTGTCATCAAAACACAAAACACTAAACCCTAAACCATATCTTAAACCCTTAGATAAATCTTAAACTCTCGGATAAATCCTAAGCTCTAAATAAAAAACACTAAACACTAAATATTAAAATACTAAACTCTTAATCTTAACTTCTAAACCCTTGAAAAAATAAATAAAAATAGTAATAATAATTAAAACAGAATTTTTAAAAATATTTTAACAATGTCAATAAAACACTAAACCCTAAATACAAAACACTAAATGTAAAACACTGAACCTATAGGGTAAATCATAAACCATAGGGTTTAGAATTCATCCAAGGATTTAAGGGTTAGGAATAAGGATTTAGTGTTTTTAGGATTTAATTAGTATTTAGTGTTTATGATTTATTCAATGGTTTAGGGTTTATCCAAAATTTAAATGTTAGGATTTAGGGTTAGGATATTGTGTTTTGCTCACAATGTTAAAAATATTAAAAACATTTTTGTGGCAATTAGTATTTTTATCTTTATTTATCTTTTCATTTTAAAACATAATATAAGTTGTCAATATTTTTTTGAAAGATATTAAATATTATATAATATAATAATATTATCTGGTGAATTTAAAGGTTCGTCCTATGAGATAAACCCAAAAATAATTCTTATAATTATATATTCAACTATCATCAATTACGTACATTACATACATTATCCCTACTTAATAGGTATCCTAGTTATTTTGATTAAAGTGGATCGGTTAAATATATGTGTTTTTAGTAGATTGTAGATTGAATGTATACTAAGTATCTATTTATTTAATAAAATTGAAATTGTACATTTAGCAAAAGAAAACCGTATTTAACATTTTTCTGGTCAGAGGAAACCCTTATTTAATCTTTTATAATCTAAATAACAACTTACATAATTATATATCACGGTCGATAAAAAATCAAACATAAACCCTAAATTCTAAAACACACACACATACATGCACACATGAACACGTTATTATGTGTGTTTTCATAATTATAGAATATATATAGTGACAAATCATCCATCAAGCATCCATGAGTTGGTTAATGAGAGGGAGGATCTTGGCCTTGGTTAAGGGTTTTGCCAAGCAATGGTTAAGTCCTGCTTCCATGAAAGCCCTACGCTCCTCTTCATTGTCAGCCAGTGACGTTACCCCAACAATCATTGACTTCACTTTCATTTCTCTTAGCTTCTTAGTTGTCTAGACAAAACCAACAAAATAACATAAAAAGGTAAAAAGTATTTTAACGGGGATGTTAAATTATCAGTTTATTTCATAAAATTAAGATTATTAATTGTACCGAAACTCCATCCCTCTCGGGCATTTCTTGATCCATTAGGATAAGGTCGAAAGATCCGCCCCCGTCACGGTGTATGACCACTGCCTCCTCACCGTTATTGGCTGTCTGAGAAAGTCCCCCAAATGCTTTGATGATCTTCTCGTGAAGTTTAAGGTTTATTGGATCATCATCGACGATCAACACGTTTAGTTTCTTCTTCATAATTTCTGTTGAATCGGTTTTCTCGATATATCCCATGGATTTTGTTGCCATCTAACAATCTTCACAAAAAATAAAGCTAACTATTAAAGACAAAACATGGAAGCTAACTTACAAGTGTTCGCATGCATGTCAGCATGTGTATGTTTTTGTGTTGTGAGCTTGTATTTATCATTTGGACAAAAAGGTTGTAATTATAGCTTGCATGCATGCCGTGGATTCGTGTTTGTATATATAATTGACTATATGTACGTATATGTAATCAGAAAAAGATTAGAAGTGGCTTACGATTTTGGATTCTAAAGAAGCTTGTGAATTGTGTTCTAAGAACTTTATACATTGATCAAAATTTATAGTTGGAAAAGGTGGAAAAGCATATTTTCTCGTCACTAAGAAAAGCATCTTTTTACATGGATTTTGCTGGAATGTAATCTGCATTTTTGCGAGTTGTTTTAACAAACTAATATGAGAACAATAAAATCAAAGTGCTGAACAAATATATATTAAGAATACATAAGAAAACACATGTGAAATCTTTAATTAACCTAGATCATAATCAGAGTTTATATATATTTTCTTTGTGCGTATGAATTCTTTCTTGTTGTTAATAAATAAACTAACAAAAAAAAGAATTTTCTTGTTAATTCTTTTTGAAAGCCTTATGCAAAAAAAAAAAGCATAAAATCATTATTTTGTTTGTTGGGTTAAAGGTCGTGCTGAACGGTGAACAAGATCTTTATCAAATCTATGTGGTAAGATATAAAGACAAAGATTCTCATAGAGCATATAGAAGGTGTGCTTAAGCAAATTAAGCATAGAACTTAATGCGTCA